ATGACACAAATGTGTTAAAAGGTGATAGTAACTGTTGATAACACCGAAATTTAGCATAATTAGAATATTTTAAAATTTTTAGCGTAAAAAGTTTCATAATGCAGCTTTAACATGTGATGGCTTGGGGCCCTGAAGAGGGGCACAGCACATGCACATGCACAGCACAGCCTTTTCCGGAAACCCAAGGACAAACAGGTCAGCATTGGCAGGGAACCAATTCTTGATAGCACTTCAGCGGAATGTAGTACCACATTTTTGTACCGTTCCGCACATTTTTTTCCTTTGGCCAATGTTGCATCCGAATTTTACCTATTGCAGACAATATGTTTTCCGAAACAATATTAGGCCACACCAATCTAACGGGTATGTTTAAGTTATCAAAATTTTAGAGCCTGAATATGTTCTACTGAAGTGCTATGCACAATACATTACAGGTTTCGCACAGGCACAGTACGTTCTGCCAAAGTGTTCCTTTTGATAGTATATTTCATAGGATTGTCTTAATTTGGTTTCTAAGGAATTTTTCCCCATTCCATCTGCAACAGACACGTGTATCAAGTTCAGACAGGATTTAATCTAATTTAGTGCCTTTGAAGATGGGCATCAGCATCAATCACAATCCAGACTGGTCTGTGTATATACTTGTTCCACACCTAAATTATAAGCACACAGGTGTGCATGTGATGGGACATACTGGGACAACTGATGAAAAAGTTGATCCAGACTGTCTGGTAAATTTATATTTAAATTAAATTTTCCCTTTCCAGTACATGTCAAGATTATGCCAAGATTTGTCCATTTTAGTCCCTTTGTATTATCAATATAGCGACATGATACTAAGTATACATGTATGAAAGGAACTGCATCATACATATACACGTAATACAATAACGTACAGGTATTGTTTGTAAAGTAAAGACAAGAAAATATGATTCTAGTCAAAATGAACAACAGTCACAAAAGCTTGACCGCAGGTACAATCTTTTCAATATTCTGTCTGAATCCAACATTTCTTTTGACATCTTCCTGTCACATTAGGCCATGTTGATTTGATTATATGGATGACATCCTCTGGGAACCCCAAAACTGATGCGAGCGCGCGAAAGTTTTGCAAAAAAAAAGAAGTTGCTTTCATGAAATCTACGTTGTTATGAAGGTCGAACAAATGACAGAGTATGGTATGGCGAATAATCTACTCTTTAAATTCATTTCTTTGCATTTTAGTTTTTTGTTTGATTTTGGCATTCTACGACGTTGGAATCGTTTTCAAATATTTTTTTTGCAACTTTCGGTATATATTTGCTCATTTTGCAACTGTTTTGTACAATTTACAGTGTGGTTGGAAACTTTTTTTTTTTGGAAACGGCCGAAAATTCATGCGCGCGCGGATGTCATCCATATAATCAAATCGACATGGCCTTACTTGATAATCATCGCACGTTCAGTAGCCAAAGTGTCTTGAATTAACTGACATGATATATTGCCTTAATAGCTGCCATTGTTAAGGGGTTATCTCTTCATCTTGGAAAACTCACTTTCATATGTCAATTAATTTGAATATGAATGCTGAATTGATACTGTCACCAGCACCTGTAATAATTGGGCTGAGGTCACACGTGAAGTATTATTTTGACTGAGTGTCATTCTAATTTCTATTCTTTAAAAGCTTGCATTAATTATCTTTAATATGATAACAAAAGACACTTCTTGGTAAAGACTCGGCTTTAGTACTTAATGTTACATGTAGTAACGTAAAATTGTGTCATTCACACTTTTCTTATATCTTCAAACTTGACTGGAGGTTCAATCTGTCACAATATTCTGTCTGAATCCATTGTTTCTTTTGACATTTTTCCATTTACTTTACTAGATCATTATCACATGTTCTGCAGCCAAAGTGCATTGAAGTAAGTGTATGATATATTGCTGCCATTGTTAGCTTGATAGGAGGTTATCTCTTAATCTTGAAAAACTCACTACTATATGTCAATTAATTTGAATATGAATGCTTCGTTACTGTAACCTGCACCTTAATTAGGCTGCGGTCACACGTGAAGAGACAGACTGGAGTATTATTTTGACAGAGAGTCATTCTATTCCTTAAAAGCCTATTAATATGATAACAAAGACACTTCTCAGTAAAGAATTGACTTTTGAGTTAGTGATACATTGTGAAATTTACACTTTTCTTATATATATCTTCTAGAAAGTTGTACAATGATGTAGTTAACCCAGCACTCCCATTATAGTACCACAGACTTTCCTTTGCTACTGGATAATCCTAAACAAACAGTAATTTGTAGTGCTGAGTCCATGTCAAATACTCGCAGGTAAATATAGTGGGCTGAAGAAATAGTAAACTGCTTTATTGGCTTTCTATTACGTATTAAAGGATCACACGAGGCTTTCTCCTGTATCGCTCAGGATTAAATGGCCTTTCTTTGTGTATAACAAAGGATTAAATGCATGGTTATCAGCACCTTTGATCAGTAAAGCTGATCTTAGCCCCAGGGTAGAGACTAGACTATTGTAGCAGCCAGAGTGTCTCAGAGGAAACGTAGTAACATGATCAGCCATTAATAAAGAAACTTGTCCACACCTTCCTTCTACTAAATCCTCAGTGAATTAATTATTCTTGTATATCTGTATAACAGGTGGTGTGTAGCTGCAATTCCTGAGAACTAGCCTAGTAACCATACCACAGGGAGCTCCCATGCAGTACTGTTAATCACTTTATATTCGCGGTATACTTTTATATTTGCGAATTTATCATTACTGCAAACAAATAGTTCACAGACTTTCTTTCTTTTGCACCTGCTGCCACCGCGAAAATATAGTTCCGCAAACATGTCCATTTTTCTCAGACTGTGAAATTTTGCTTCAGTGAATATAATAAAAATGATCTACAGTATCTTTACGGTGCTGGTGTGTTGGCCTCATGGCTCTGAGACCCAAATTATCGCGTGCCTCGTACAGAGGTTTTACTCAGTTGGCTTCAAATTAGTTCAAAGACTGCAGTACTGTAAATCACTTTATATTCGCAGTAGTTTTATATTCAAGGTTTTCATGGTTGCTTCTGTACCCAGAATTTATCATTGCCACAAACAGAATGACTTGATTTATTCTGCACCTGCCGCCACCTTGAACATTTAGTTCTGCGAACGCGTCCATTTTTGTCAGACGCGAAATTTTGCTACTGCGAATATAATGTGATTTACAGTAAACAGAAAGGCTGGCTGGAAAGATAGCTGTCAGATAGGGCTATACATTTGTACATGCTGCAGTGAGACTGATTGTCTACTGAGTTACTGAGACCCCACCCCCTTATCTTTAGGGTACTATAAATAATGATTTTTTACAGTACTTTCAATTGTGGTTTTCACGGTCACTTCTGTACCGCGAACAAATAATTCTTCAACTTTCTTTTTTTTCCGCCACCGCGCGCGTCAATTTTTCTCAGACCGTGAACTTTTGCTAATGCAAACATAAAGTGATTTACCGTAATTCTTTCCTATCCAATACCTATAAGATTTGTTTATATTTCACAATCATTCTTTGCCATGGCAACACGCTTGTTGGAGGGCAGTTAATTTATCAGTGCTGGCTTGCAAGACTGACATTATAAAACAGTTGCAGATGGCATGTGCTAGTCCGCTCCATGTGTCTGAAGTGTTCTCACTCAGTCTCTGTGAGTCTGTACAATATTTTGTACACAGATTCCCCTGTCATAGAACATACAGATTCTTGTTTTTGCTACAGCTCTGTTATGATTAACAATGATCAGTAGATCTATTCTTGGTACATCACCCCTGATCTAACCTTTGAGAGATGTCACTGGAAGACAGTTTTATAGTGGTACGATGAAGACATGTCTGCATTCTTGTCTTGGCTGCCACGGTGGCAAGTTCCTTTGCTTTAGACCCTGCCCTATGCCATTAATTTTCTTGTCTTATAAGATGTAACTATTTCTGGTGAATGAATTTAGCACCCAGGAGTCTATTTAAAGATGGTTCTCCATTTAATGTGATCTACATTCATGTGTTATTTGTATCCAATACTTTTCTATTCTGCACAATAACTACATGTAGCTTACTCACAGCATACACAGTGTACCATCTTGCTGGAACACAAAATGCCATGTGTTGAGAACTTTGCAGTGATTTATAGAACCAGTGAATTGGAAACACTTGCCAGGTGTCTTGAATGTACATTATGTTGTGCCAAAACTTTGGGAAATGCCTTCTACACATGTACATGCATGAGGGAGCAGTCCTGACTCCATACCACAATAAACTTGTTACATTTGGGAAATTGGGCAATTGTAGGGCGTGCTCCGGGGTGTCTCCAGCATGTTCACCTCTCTGTCTGATTCAATATCAATGTCAAAGTGACAAACCAGGAGATAGATCGCAGGTTAACATTTACAGCAGTTGTAGATAATGTTTTTACCATGTACATGTCTTGACCTACTTAAGTGTAGAATTTAGGTCAATTGTAGACTTTCCCAGACAATGCTCTTGTACTTTACTTGACCCTTGAATGAACTTTACATTGGCCTACATTTCCATCCCTTTTCATCAGCAAGGGCCATGCTCTCTTGGACCGGTCCATCTCAAGCTATTTCACGGGGGACACTGTGTATACACATTTCTGTTTCCTCCATCAACATTCTTTGCAAAAGGATTGTGAGACTTGACCCCAATTTGTTTCAAAGTTTCATAGGCCACGTCTGTAGTTTTCCCAGTTGTACGCTTTTTTGTTTGTTTTATCCTACAAAGCTTAAAAGGAGAATACTGTAAGATTGTGTATACATGTACATACTAGCACACCAGCAACAAACTGTGGTATTGAGTATGCCAACTTGTGCTTGTGTCTGTTTCTTTTCCTTTTTCCGATGAAACACTAATAGACCAACAGGTGGGACCTAACTGTCCATTATGTGACCTGTACAGTGCTTATAATCAAGCTTCCACACACAACAACTCAGACTCCAGCCACCGTTCAGCAGTAACTTTAGTTTATTAGGATTAGACACTAGCACAGACAGTTTTAAGTGCTGACACTCAACTTGTAACCATAATATTACAAAATCACAGACAACGTCCAAAAATAAATATCTACAAATGGCCCATTCAGCTTGAGGTTGAAAGTCTTTCAATCAGAATTAAATATACAAATAGTTCAGGGAATATCCATCTTTACATACTCAGTCATTTTCCATACAAAAAGACATCATCTTACCTTTATTACACCTTTGTTCGATGCTATATCTCTAACAGGTAAAGCAGAATGGGTAAATCTGTACATATTAAAACTATTTGAATGCATCTTCTATTGCTGCTTTTACAAAGCAGTAGTAGCAATCTCATACTGCTGTTCAATAAATACAAAACATCACAATACGACCTATGGCTAGGACATAAATAGTAGTACCCTGTCATCTCAAGTTGCAAACACTCGTCAACATCACAAGCATTTTTTTCCATGAAGGTAAAAAAAAAAGACTCCCAGCTTTTAAATGCCTTGCTGACTTTCAGACTATGGAATGTATCAGGGGCAGCAAAAATACCAGCTTGTTGCATAAGTGAGTCCTATCCTGACACGGATGTCAACAGTATATTTACACATTGCTTGCCGCTATCCATTATTACATACATGATTGACATTTGGGCATTTTTTCCAGAGTTGTGTCTCCAACACCGGGAAAAATGTTAAGTTTTAATCTATGGCTAAGTAGCCCTCATTCCTTTCCCAATTTGCAACTTGGAAAAGTTGTCTTGGAAAGCAAATCGTTATTAAGACCTACCTCAAACTACTAATGCTTCACCCCTGTTACGATTGAAATAGCATTTCCTCATTGTCGTTTATATATTTATATGACTGGCTCTGTTATGATAGAAACTGCTGTGATTAACTATGCAACTATTCTTACCAATTTCCTCCTTGAATTTAAAGTCTGAGAATTCTCTTCTAATACACTTCAAATACTCATCATTGGCTTTTTGAGATAAAATTAAAAAGGGTACACACAGTACATGTACTTTCCTTATTTTCTGTGGCAGCAACTAGATGAATTTTGTCAACAGCACTTTGGTTCAAAAGCAATGACTTTCCAAGCCAGAACTTAAAGCTGAACAGATCAACCATTTCAGATAAAACATTAGAAGAGAATTTTCATACACGATGTATATCTTTTACTGTTAGCTCTTTGAGGAGTCTGTCATAGGTTCCTATCTGCTATCTACACCTCTGGTTACATCAAAAGAACATTATAAAAAGTAAATAAAAGTATACTGGCTCTTAAAAGGCTTTCAAATAAAATACCAATAGCTTTCTTTACACAATAATATAGTTCTTCAAATAAATAATACAATGCAGAAAGATAGTCCGAAGTTGGAAGAACAAATGACAAAAAACAGAGGGAGGGGGGAAGGTCTGACAAGAATCTTACGTACTTAACGATATTATGTGGGGGATAAGAAAACAGTGGAAGTCTTGTTGTAGTGTTGGGTGGACAAGGCACCAGGTGGCGGGGTGTGGTCATTCAGAAGGTCGGTCAGCAGCTGCCCAGCACCTGATGGGTTTCCTCCTCTCAACCGTCATCAATTCAAGGCCTCTGCAAGGGGCAGGAGAAAGAGGTGTTAGTTACACATGCAATGTGGCTAAAGGAACCACTCAGAAGTCACTATGGTAAGATGATGTAGTCCCTAGATACATGTAATATCTTTGAAAATCCTTTTTGTTGTTGTTGTTGAAAATTTTGGTCCAGTCTGATGTCAAAGTAGGGTTTGTTTACTGTTTTCTTCCTATTTTTTGGAGGCAGACCCTTGTGGTTCTTTGGTGCAGAATAAGTTCTTGAGATTGAAATGTGGGAAAGTACTTTCATGAAGGCTTGTGTCAGTGTATTTAACCATAGGTTTCTATGGCCAAACATAATTGTACTGTCTGCCTGTAATAGTGCTGCCTGCCCTATACCAGTAACCATGGAGCCGCCTTCAAGCTTTAACCGCAGGAATTTCAACCAGCTACACAGGAAGAAAACAGGCTTAAATCATATCCTTGACGACACAAACAGGTTCAAGTGCCGAAACTCTAGCCAATAAAACCGCCCCGCTCTGCGTGCTCCTCCAAAGTGGAGACATTACAGCGGCACAGACTCAAATTGAAAACAAGCCTGCCCCAGTTCACATGGTCACAAGGTGAGTCGGTTAAGGGTGCGGCATGCGGGAATGGCAAGTCTGTTCAAAATTAGTTTTTAATCTGTCTGGCACAAAATAAATTCTAGGCTGTGGGTGAAGTAATCAGTTCTTAAGGACTTTCACTTCCTCTCATTTCCCCCAAGGCTACAAAAACAAAAAAGAAAACATGAACGGAGTAATTTCCCTTGGCTGGAGTCCACCATACACATTTCACATCAAAGAACATTCTGAGTTAGAGCCCGAGGGGTGGTAAAGTACCCTTTCGCAACGGCATACTTTCACACACGTTGCACTTCTTCTGAAAATCATTACACACACCTAACCCTCCCAGTGTCATAGGCCAGTTTTAAAGCCTAGTTCTAATCGTCCCCGACACTGCGAGCGGTAGTGGATCAGAGGGGAGTTCCGTCAATCCGAGAGAATAAGAACGCGGTTCTGCTACTGTTGTTTTCTTCAGTTATCCTTGACGTGACCTCACTGCCTTTGTAGTGTGGATTACCCAAGGTTGACAATGCCAAATCTCTCAGAATCCATTTTGTCTGTCATTGGCAATGAGTAGTTCAAGATTGTTCTTTATTTGGCCAACTTTGGATGAACAACAAGTTACCTTGACAATGTGTTGTTTCCAGGATGAAGCTACACAGCTTTGTTGTAAATTCACATCTTTGTGAAGTTGGGGCATGGAAGAAGTTTGCTGACACAATTTACTGGTGTAAAACCAGTCTTGCCTGGGCTAACAAAGGTTTTTTTAATCTATCAATGAATAGCACCTGAACAGTAACTACATGACTGTACATATAAGCCGAGTTCTCACCTTGCTGACCACATTTGTACTTCAGATCGGAGAAGAAGACCATCTCTTGTGAAAAGACGAAGAGTCCTAGGCGACCTCCCTTTAATGTTGTGTCGAATAGATCCCCAGAGTCGGCCATAACTTTACTACCTTCATAGAACGTCACCCTGGAAATGACAAAAAGCAAAACAGTTGTGTCACACAATAGCAGAAATAACAGTCACCTACATTGTACACAAGGTATAGTGATAGTAATGACCATAGAGGGATCGAAATCCTTCTTTGTGCATACCTGCACCAGACAACTGTTACCTGCACCACTCAGTTTTGGGTCATTGAAAAAAAAACTGTTCAGAAACTTTATTGATTGAAACTTTATTCAAAATATGACTGCACTAACCTGCATATGCAGGTGGGATTTCGAGCCCTGGCATAGTAAAACAGTAGTAACTGTTGCTCCCCTAGCTGCACGACCCCTTTCTATGACCTTTTCTATAATTAAGAGGCCAGGGGACCAGGGCAGTGGATGGAGGACTGGATTAATATAGAACTGCTGAGGTGATGAAAACTTAAACCTCAGAATTATGGAAAAGCTGTTTGAAGGAAGAGTCCATATTGGGGAGACTTGTGAACACAGAAAACTGTGTATGCAGTGACGTTGGTGAGGTTTACATGTGATTAACTGCACGTGGTTTGGTTTATGGCGGTGGCCACATTCAGCACAGGTTCAGACCTGAAGTGTGCACAAGGCTAACTGTTCTTACCTTATTAGTCCAGAGTCTGGTTTATGCTTCAGCTTCCATCTGTAGGCAGTCATGTCTTTCCATCCAATGGTGTTCTTGTCGTGCCAGAGCAGTCTCACCTGCAAGTACAATGAAGGCATGTTTAGGCCACATCAATTTCATTTGTTGGTTCTCTGATTTTTGTTTCTTTCAGAAGAAGTATGACGCAACCGTGGGAAAAAAATTAGACATAAAAACAGACCTGGGCATCGTATGATAGCCCTAGATGCTACGATAGGAGCCATGAAGTCAACATACTAGGCTGGTTTATAAGGATGGATTTTCAACTTTTAATCAAAGCACTGCATTGTTAGTTGGAAAAAGTGTAACAACTAGGAAGACAAGGATTTTTCCTCAACTTTTGGGGCCAAAACATGAGCATTTTGGAGTTGATTCAGAACCTGACTTTTTTTTTTTGCAAGTCAGAAAAAATTGAGTTTACAGCCAAACCAATGTGTAAAATTGAGCGGGATTATTATAAAATTTCTGTTGCTCATTGGTGTGTCTACAGGCACACAGAGCCAAGAAAAGTGATTATTCTGGTCAAGAGCTACAACATCTATGAAGCCAATCAATTTGAAACCTTTGGTTTGTCTAGTCAGTGTCAGACGTGAGCTGGCATCTTGCTATTAAGACGGGTCACTTAGGCCATTAGCCATGCCTCTCAGGGGGTTCCCAATTTCCATGTCATGGTCGTCAGTCTCCCCATAAGAACCTTACACACTACTGCCGCATTCACTCACGTACACAGGGCACTTCTCCTCACAACATAGGAGAGGCATTTGGTGACAGGGCGGCCGCACACACAACACATTTGAGTTATGGATATGTACCCAAAACAGTCAGTTTCAAAGTACTGTTGTCCAAAATTACTAGTGTTTCAGTCTTCAACTTTGCTTTGGCCTATCAACCTCTACAGGAAAGCTCCAGGTTTGTGCTTTAGGAGAAATATCCTGGGTCCCAAACTGCCATGAAAGTACCCCCCACCGGGCACATGTCAAGGATCACAAACCTATTTGGCTGCAATCCATTTATATATATATCCCAAGGCCAACTCTACCCAACTGATGCACTTCACTGCACACTTTGACTAGTCTTTGATCTCAAGCATTTAATTCCTACTCTTTGATAACTATGTAATATGAGTTGCTTTGCTTTCTTCAAGTTTAACTAATTTAATAAAAGAAATTACACCTCAAAGACAATAATCCGAACCCAACTGGATTCAGCAATTCTTTCAAACTTAATCAGCAGATTGCAAACTGGTTTCCCAAGAAACGTTTTACATTATTGTTTCTGGCACAGACCCGCCTATTTTTGTAGAGGGCTATCCAAGTGTGAATGTTTGTGCCAAACAACAAGTTGTTTACAAAGTGGCGGAGTGGGACGTCATGCTTACCTGTCCGGGAGTGTCTCCAGTGTGCCACAGGGCATTCCTCAGGGCCTCTCCTGGTCCTGTCTCCGAGTTTACCACCTGGAAGAATCAAAACAATCAAACCATGTAAACATGACGGGCAGCAGGGTTCCTAACAAAACAGATACACCATTGTACTCCAGTCCTACAGCCTTGCTAGGGGCTTAATTTCGTATTAATTGTAACAAACTGCAATTGTGTTCTACCCAGTGTTCTAGCCAACGTTCGTCTTTCCTATGATGCTCAAGAAGGACAAAAATGTTGTCCAATCTGTCGTCTTTGACAGACAAAAATCAGTGTGTTAAGTTAAGGAAAGACATTAAACTAAGCTTAGTCTACAAGCAAAATAATATTTGCCTCCCAAATTGCAGGAAATAACATTTAAGAGGGTCAAGACTACAAAATTTTCCTGAGGGGGGGGGGGGAGGGAATGCCCCCAGACACCCTAGCATTTTTGCTTGACATGCATGTATTAAACGTGAAACAAAACTGAGGTGATGGAAAAACTTTCAGGCTGGCTAGAACACTGGTTCTATCTCTCTACTGTGGACAGCCAGAGCACCCACGCCTGAGCAGTGCTTGGTGTTGGCAAGTGTCGGCGCAAGCATCCCTTTGATTCGGCCCCCGACTTGGCATTTTTTGCCATCTCCGGGGGAGCAAAAACTCAAGGAGTCCCTATTGACATCCTATTTGTCACATTGGTTTATTTAGGTTTGTGCCTAGTTCAACTGGTAGAGCCTGAGACAATGTTGTTTTGGATCTGTGAGAAAGTGCCAGAGGGAGGGGGTAGGAAACCACAGGCCATTATACCCATCCAGGGGGCAGCCACAGGTCACACTAGACCTTGCTGTTTGCTGAAAAATTTGACCTCTAGTTAGACGCACTAAATGAAGTGAGATTTATCTCTGGTGAAAGGCCTGTTGCCTATTTCAGACGAAAGGCACTGGACTGCAGCATCTGCACAAAGAGCCTCTTTGGGCCAGGCTAGGGACTTCATTCGTATGGATAGATTGTCCTTGAAATGACATTGGAACAGATACTGCCTAATTTAGTCATGAACAAAAGCACTGTTCAAGATTATATACCTAACTTGTGCTCTAATATATAAATCAAATAATGATAGCTAAGACTCTGAAATTAATTTCTGTGGCAAAATAAAACAAAGGGGCAAAAGTTAAAGAAAGGACTCTAGTTGATAAAAGTTTGCCTGACGTAAAAGGCCCTTGAAGCAAACAAGCCAAAAGGACTGACTCGCCTACAACAAACCAGCACTCTGCAAGATCATCTGTTTTGTGACCTACAAGGTCAACCCATTTGCAGAACAACATCCCATCCATTCTCCACCCCAAGAAAAACATCTCACTGCCATCAATTGTCTTCTGCAGTTCATGAACTCATCTTCCACCCACCAGTGCTCTGGATATGGTAGTTCACTGCTGCATACAGTACGTCCTCTCACTAACAATTTCCAAGGTTACGTACAAAAATGAAGAACGGCATCATTTTGAAACCTGTAATGTGCCAAAACACCCCTGCCCTGTGATTTCATGCCAAGACTGCCAACTTGAATCGCTTTTGATGGACTGGCAGAAATAAATAGGATCTTAGGAATGGTAGGAATGAAGGAAAGCCCTCAGGTGTTTTATTCTAAGATGATGCAACTATGGACAAAGGTGAAATGGCATACCTTGACTTGGACTCCTGCTGAGCCGTGGGCCATGGAAGGTTTGGAGAGCCAGTACGTCTGGTGGACCTGTTTCCACATCACCACGTAGAAGCGATGGCTGGACTGGTAGCCGAACACGAAGCCCGCGTAGTCGTCGTCCTTTTGTGTGTTCACGTAGAAGGTGCCGTCAAAGTCCACTTCGTTGAACCTGTCAACTCCTGTAACACATACGCCAATGAAGGTTTAGACACCCAGGTAATGAGATACACAAGGAAATTGTTACTCCAGCAACTGGTATGATTTTGAAAACTGTCAGAAGTACTACTTTTTGTCAGTAACTAAGCAGACTCTGTAGTTGAACAGGTATTTATCTAGTAGCATCCACTACTTTTCGTTTAAGACTAACAGAATCTGCAGTTGAACAAGTATTGGTCCAAAAACTACCCGGTATAAACATTTGACTTGATATATCAATGAGGTGAAGACAATTTTACAGACTGTAGCAGAAGATTGAAACGTAATGGTGTGTTAGTAACCAGTCTATTATGTTTATTTGTACCCTGAAATCATGCAAACAATCAAAGCTGTCCGATAATGACAGGTTGCTGACCTATGGCCATGCCCGGATCACTGTTGACTGTCTGCACCAGCTCCTTCCCTTGGTTCCTGATGACCCAGTTGGGGTCGATCTGCGATGTTCCCTTTGGATCCAGTGCGACCATCTGGAAGTCACGGAAGTCTACCCTGGAGATCTGGGCGTTCTCTGGGCACACATCATCCTTGTCCTTGACACCGTCACCGTCAAAGTCTTCCTGGCAGACGTCTCCACGTCCGTCACCTGGAACAAAAGGACGACAGAAGTCAGACAAACCTGTTTCCCAGCGGTGTTTCACGACAAGCCGCGGCGTCTCCAGGCAGACAGTTTACTGTTAGGGTTCAAGTTTCCTACAGATTGTAGACTGTCTCAACTTTAGCATCCTGCTGACTATAGATCTAAAACAATACTCTATGAGGAGTGAAGCTCAAGGCATATGGAAGTAAATTCTCTTTTTCATGGACCTGAAAAGACTTATCAAAAAGAAACCCAAATCGATTAGAACTCCCTACAACTCAGTAGTTGCCTTGGATCAACAATTATCGGTGTCCTTTTGAACCTTTTCATCCCAAAGGCAATTCTTTCCATTTTCTCCTGGTGGCTTTACTTCCCTTTGAAGTGACTTAGCTTGGCTAGACACGACTTATTTTGAAACAAAGTACTTTTAGATCATTGTTGCCAGTACAGTTCTGTGTCTGTTGATGCCCCTTGCTCAAAGGGAACTTTTGAAAGTGAAGTGAACTCACCGTTGCTGTCTATTTGGTCTGGGTTTGCGCGGAGTCTGCAGTTGTCATCCTTATCCAAAATGCCGTCGTTGTCATCATCATCATCACAGGCATCGCCAAATTCGTCACCGTCGTGGTTGACCTGATTACTGTTGGGGATACTCGGGCAGTTGTCCCGGATATTCTCCAGACCGTCATCGTCCACGTCAATGTCGTTGTCGCAAGCATCGCCAAACAGATCCGAGTCGGAGTCCTCTTGTTTGGGGTTGGCGATGACTATGCAGTTGTCGCACGCGTCCCCGACTCCATCACCGTCAATATCCTCCTGTCTGAGGTTGAAATGCAGCGGGCAGTTGTCAACTTCATTCCGCAGTCCTGAGGAAAGAGCCAATACCAAAACCGTCAACTTCAAGTATTAGTGTGTGTCTGTGTGTGTTAAGTTGCAGAAAATTGCAGTGACAGGCTAAATAAAAGTTTTAAGTCAGAACTGTGCAGCTGCTGATGTCTTACTGAGGAACTGTATTGTGATAGATGTAGGTTAGCTTGAGGAATGAATCAACTTTATACAGTTTATACAGTTGCAGGAAATTATTTATTTGACTGGTGATTGTGCTTTTCACCTCAAGAAATTATTAGTGGAGATTCATTTTATCGTCATGACTTACCATCACCATCTATGTCTACAGAGCAGGCGTCTCCCTCTCCGTTGCCATCTGTGTCCTTCTGGTAGAAGTTCTGGTCGTACGGGCAGTTGTCACACAGGTCGCCCCATCCATCGCGGTCGTAGTCGTCCTGTCTGGCATTGAACGCCATCGGGCAGTTGTCCTGGAAACATGGACATTGATGTTGCGTTACCAAACACGTCTGACAACTGAAGTGCTGGTGTCACACTTGTCAGTTTCCTGTAATGTCTGAGGCAACCTCCAAGGAGAACCCTTTATTTATGTTACCGGTAAATGTTCTTCTGCATGTTGTTTAGTCACGGGTCCCTTCAACATTCCAACCAGCAGCCATCCGTCTGGCTTAGTTTTATGCATCGTCAATTAAGTCGACTCAAAGTATGTGATTTGTTCCAGACAAAGTCACAAAATGTTAGTTCTAGAAAGGTCGAGGCTGTACAAAATGATCTGACACGTGCAGACCAGTGTGCTTACCCGATTGTCAGGAATGCCATCGTTATCATCATCTCTATCGCAGGCATCACCCTGGCCATCCTTGTCAAAGTCCTCCTGTCCACTGTTAGGTAGGAATGGGCAGTTGTCCTGTAGATTACGAGAAAAAAGAAATTTCAGTCATTGTGGAAAATTCATAGGCATTTCTACATGTACCATTAAGATTCTTCAGAAATAAAAGAGATACAAGATTCTTTTGTGAGTGAAGTCTACCATAAACACTATAATTTGTCCCCATCAGCATGCCATAGGGCAGCTTATAGAATGTATCTCCATGTAAAGGAATTTTCCAGGGGAAAAACCCTTTCATCAAAACCCTTTGATGTCCCTAGGGGTGATATACAGGGTTAGTATTATTCCTTGCAGTGAATTGGGTCTCAGACCACAGATTAGAGGCAACATGTAATCTGTAGATATCCCTTTTACAAAGTCATCCCAGACACATTTTAGAACTATAAATCCTACTCAACACAGTGTACTACACCCCAGGGCTACATAACTTGTCTATAAGTTTCGGTGTAAAACTGCACATTTTGCAAACCGTACTTGTGGCAACTTGTACTTTTCCATTAGACTCGGTGACCTTCAGTGAACCCTAGTCGGGTACCTGATACCAACTCGCCAGCCTATGTAACGACCCCCTACCCCATATCCGGACTTGTTTTGCCATCTGAATCCGAGGGGTTCCCCTTTTACAAAGTGCTTGTCTCCCAAGCTATTCTCCCTCCTGCCATGGCAAACACCGCTACTGTTGCGTCAATTGTTTAAGACGCTACAAAAACAGGCTTCTGAAGTATGTTGTTTTTCCTTCTTCCGCCCCGCTATCTTATCCAAACTTTCTGGTTGTTAACTCTGGTGTGAGGAAATGTCACATCGGCAGCGTTCCCATTTATTTTTCTTCGCACGCCTTGAGAGGGATCAAAAGGCGACCTTCTGCGGTTTGGAGTCCACAAGGGATGAAATAACGACAGTACCACCCGTAAAGTGGAACGTACCTTTTTGCAGTGGGTTGTGTTGCCGATCAGACAGGGCAGGTCTTCGTCAGGATAACCATCCAAGTCAATATCCTCGCCACAGTGGATGCCATTCCCAGCATATCCAACCTTACACTACAGGAGGGGCAAACAGAGAATACACAAATCTGATTAGATTGACCCCCATTTTTTGTACAATATACGTGTCAGAGCTTAGGGGTTAAAGTGTGTCAAGTGATTTACCCTCACAGCAGCCCTCGACAAAGGCTACAGTGTCATATTGAAGGATTAGAAAATCAGTGTTACAGGCTATATACTACTGATCTCTTTTTCTGCTGGAGAAATTGGACCATTCACAGATAATTGAAGTGACGGCCCAACAGTGCAAGTGACACATAAACAACCAGTTCCTCAAAGTGATTTACACAAAGTCAAAATGAGGTGCAAGTTCATCAACCTATCACTGTACGAACAGTTATGCATTTTAGCACTTTTGGCAGTATTTTCTTATACTCCACGCTTACTTGTAAATCAAGCTAAATTGCTAAAAACAGACCACAAGCAACAACTGCCATACAGTCGAGTTGATTATTTTCTCTCTAAGCTTCTTTCAGATTAGTTTAGTACATCTCACATGGTAGAGCAGATGTGTCTAGATTATTTGCTTTAAGTGTGCCAAGACAAAGTTGTAGCATTATTTTTTACAGACAACTAAAGCCCATTGGAGCAGCTGGATCAAGAGTTGCTCATGTGGTTCTGAGGCAAACAGCCTCTGGGCAGCTGTGTAATGATCCAAGTTCAAAGTCCCTTCATCTCCCATCTGTTCTTACATAAGGCTAATCTGATGCCCCTGACCTAGTGCTACTCATCTGCCTTTGATACTTTCGTTACACGTCATCTGTCAAACAACACCACTGTTCTGACACTGAGAGATACTTGTCAGTGATTGAGCGTGAGGTCGGCGATGCTTCGGGTTCGTGTTCGTTCCCACCTACCATGTAAAAGTATAGTCTTTGAGTGAAGCTTTAGTGAAAGCATGCTACACACACGTGTATCGCTCCTGTGTGCTGAGTCAGTATTTACTGCCGTGTTTGCCTTACCTGGCACTCGTACAGTGGGTCAATGAACGGACCGAGGAACTTGCACTCAGCGTTGAAGTGGCACTGGTCAGTTCCGTCCCTGCAGGGGTTGGCGGGCAGGCATGTCTGTGGAGAAAGAACATCGGAATATCAGTCAGCAATTCTTTACAAGGGCTGTTTTTATGTCACCATTAAAGCATATACTATCTTAGTGTCTTTCCATCATTTGACGGAATTTTGCCACTAGCTCATGACCGGGGATGTTTTATCATAAGCTCCTTGCTCATGACCAAAATTTTGCCCAACCTGTCATCGTTGACGGACAAAAATCATCGTATAAAGACATGGGAAGAGATGTCATCAAAGTACTTAGCTTAGTCTACTTGAAAAATTTACAACTCAAAGTGTAGGAAATTGCGTTTCAGAGGGTCTAAATCAAGACTTCAAAAGGGAGCATGCCCTGGACTGCCCTAGGATTGTCATGCCTCAGGCGCAATGCTTTGCACCATTGGTGCTCAACATGTCAAACAAAATTGACGGAAAAAAATTTCAGGCTGGCTAGAACACTGGTTCTCTGAATTTGCTTCCCTTCTTAAATACTGGCTGTGGGCTACACAGAGCAAGAGTACCTCTATAGTGTACTGGTATGATATATATGACAGCACAGGTGCCAGGTATAAGGTAACACATAATGACCACAGCTTACTGGTGTGGGAATCAATCAAGCAGATGATTAAATTAATATCTAACTTGACTACACGTGGTCAATGCACGTCATCGAGATCTAAATTGGTATAAAGGTGAAGGTGACTCCATTCTTTCGTATATTGAGCTACATTCGGATCAAAAGATATCTGATTGATACAGCAAAGACAAGCAGAGTAGTCTCTGGGGTACCAATGAAATTAAGAATGTTCCCAGCTTGTCCTAGCTTGATACTGTAATTCACGATTTTTTACGGTACTATCATGTTTGCAGTTTGTATGGTCACTTTTGTACTGCGAACTAGTCATTACCGTGAAGAAATAATTTACTGGCCGACTTTCTTTTTGCCGCACCTGCTGCCAACATGTCTGTTTTTCTCAGACTGAGAACTTTAGCTTCTGTGAACATTACAGTACGACTGGTCTTACCTGTTTGTTGCTTTCTGCCATGAAGATACCAACTCCGCCGGGCTGGTTGCCAGTGTAGCCTGGAGGACACCTCTGGCACCGGTAACCCGGGCCCAGGTTCTTACACAGGGACACTCCGTTGTGGACATAGCAGGTGTCAGGAACCAGAGCACACTGGAGGGACAGACGAAAAAGTATTCAGTGTCATTGTCAAAGCACATCATTACTTAGGCTAAAGTAAAACATGATCTGGAACAAATACTTTGAGCTTATCAAACTGAAAGCATAGTCTTCTCCTTTTTCATACACTTTCCCAAGTTTTTCTCCACACTCAATTGCAACCACTGTTTTACACAGTTTGGTCCGTGGCTATCTTATTTACTGTTTATTCTGAAGTGCTTTCTAGGATGTTAAAGAGCACTATCGTGAATCAGCTGATTATCCCGCTCGTTAAATAGAATTAGTAGTTTGGCCTTTACACGAGCCATTTACTCTGAACAGATTTAGCACGGACATACGGCCAAATGAATTGTATGGCCTTGCATGTACATGAGAAAGAGCAGTAAATGTATGTATAAAGACCAACAGGGCAGCTGGGTTGACTACTATTGTGGGTGGGGGGCAAGTGGTTGATGTAACATAATAAGGTTATCATGCAAACTTGCAAGCATCTGGCCAAAATTGCCCCTGGCCATAAATATTACAGCCCCCAACCTGCTGAAACTGTACCAGCAGCCTGCTGACATTTGCTCAGGCCAGCTGACAGACCTAAAATACTACCACTGTCATTTACTCAGAATCTCTTTTTCCGACCGAATTGTCATCAATGTCTCATCATGACCTGTAGTAAATATTTTGTGACAAAGCTTTTGCCAGAACAAATATTTGACCTTTTTTTTCTCTAAAGGTAATGAGATGTGGCTCTTTAACGCTGCCTTTTGGAAAGAGTGAAGCGCCTGCTATGGACTGACAATAAACAACTCAAATGTCAAGGATAGCAGCCTTTAGCAGAGGTGGTATAATGGAGGGGTTGCACCCATGCAGCTTGCACGATTAACGTCACACCAGCACCAGGCTGGAACATGAAAAACAACAGACAGTCTTTCCCCCAGGTGCGGTCGAGCGGCACAAATGAGAAAATTATCTGGCAGTGTAGTTGTGACACTAATGAGATGCAGCAGCTGACAGACCTGTCAGTCTTCTTCTGGCGCACCGCAGTCGCACGGCAGCGGACAGACAGGATTATTTATTATGGAGTCCAACCTCGGGGTCACGTCGAGTCAGGCATGCCATGCCGCTCCTTTTTACTGGCAAATGAACAGGCGTTTTTACTATTTAATCAATAAAGGTTGCTTACATCTGCATTAAACTCACCTCATCAATGTCAGTGCAAGACTCTCCGTCACCCTCGAAGCCGGCGGGACAGGGACCGCACGTGTACTTCCCGTCCTTCGTACTGGAACATTCCACTCCGGCGAAGCAGGGGTTGGACAAGCATCCATCTGTTTTTATATAAAGATAAAGTCTTACATCACTAACAGATGTAGAAAGTCTTCTAAACAGTCCAAATCAGGTCAGCTGACAGTACAATGAAGGGAATTCAATGGGGAGTTTAGTTTAGACAGTCAGGGTGTTTGGAGTTGAATCGCCGTCTTTCTTCCCAACAGTGAAGTGGGTGTCCCTGTTTAACCTGATTATCATCTGTAAACGTTCAAGTGTTTCTTCAAACTGGGCAGAAGAAGGGGAATGTGTGTACTTGAAGGATTACGGTGGCTGTTGGTGGTCCTGAGAGACAACAGTGTTACTTAGGTCATGTGGGAACTTAGGAACCAGGAATTCCAGTCCAAAAGGTGACTGTAAGCTGTTTGGTGAGAGCTCTGCTTCCGTGAAATTGGTGGCGCCACTCTACCGCAGACTTTCTTGGCATTAGACTATGCAGTAGATGTGACGTTGCCACAACTTTTGTACTTTGTATCACACTTGATATATTTTCTTTCTCAAATTTTTACCTTAACCCAAACCCTATGCGGTTAAAAGCTTAGTAACTTGTAGAGTGAAAATAAATGTGTTAACCCTTCTCCTGGCTGTGGACTTATCCATCCATACACTAAGTTTGCATTTCTTGCAGTGCTAGTCAACAGTAAGGTGATAGAACATACAGAAGTACATGTATACATTCATACAGAAGTCAACACTATGTACTGACCAATGGGGCAAGGCTCGGTGTTGCAGTGGTCCACGTCGGCGGGCTGGCCCTGGCACTTGTCTCCTCCGTACGCCGGCGCGGGACTGTCACACAGGCGCTGTCGGACCCTGGTGCCTCCGTCACAGGTACGCGAACACGGGCCCCAGAGCGACCACTGACCCCACTGGCCGTGAACTGTTCAGGAGAGGAGTAGAAGACGCCAAAATTAGAGTCATCCGAGGCTATATGCTGAAAACAGCGTAACTTGGTCTAGGCAGCTTCAAACAGCTTTCTAGACACACACGTCGAAGTAACTTTTCTAAAGCCCGAGTATCAGCCCTTATTTAGCTTTTGTCCCTCCCCACAATTCGCTTCTGAATTGCAAAAGGTAGCAAATCATGAGTAGCCAGCTGACGAAAGCTAAAAAAGGCTGACACTGACTATATTTTCTACTTTCTGAAAGAAATACAACACCAGTTCCTCTTTAGTGTTATATGCATTGGGACCAAACCGTCTTACCAGGGCATGCCTCCCTCTCGCAAATGTTGTTCTCTCGTCCGTCTCCAAGACAGTTCTCGCCACCTAGCTGCGGAGTGGGTGCATTGCAGGTCCGGATGCGGGTGGTGATGCCCTCGCCACAGGTCACAGAGCATGTCCACGGCGTCCACAAACTCCAGCCTCCATTCTGGGGGACTGGGGGAGGGAAACATCCATATTACTAAATGTAGCACATTTTTATATAAGTTACAAAGTTTGCTACACATCTGAAGAACCTATTACTTGGTTTGTAGTCATACTTGTTAGAATCTTATGGATACTAAGTTTCCATAGCCTTTGACATACATATGTAGTGACTGAGCATTGCATGTGTTGACAAGGATTTAAGATGTCCCCATGGCTAGCCTGTCACCACATAAGTGACAGATGCCCAGGCAATCTTTGTTGGCAGGCAGTGAAGTAGGACATCAAACCATTCTAATCATACGCTGACTAAGCATTTGTTATGTATGTTTGCACTGTAGCGGTGAGGTAGTCGCCAAATAGTCTCATTCCAGATGATTGTGCATTACTGTTACAAGCATTATCAGGGAGCGAGCAGATGTCATAGCTACACCTTTTTTTACATTTTCCGATTAAATGTTCCGAATATTCTAGATCATGCAGGTTTAATTGCATGAATAAAGGGACATTTTCAACACTCAAGTAGTCCTCCAAAGACACGTCAAGCGATTTCACACGTGATGAGGTCCCAATACGACTGTTTTCTAGCCAGCGATCTACAAACAGCTCTAGGGCACGTGAGCGTTTTATTCTCCAAGGTTGAGGGATTAGAGAAGGTGGTTGTAATGTTATGCAAACTGGCACTTGTCCACGTCTGTCCTCCACATGAATTGCTGTTTTGTGTGCATGTCATTATTGTGAAGGAAGACAGTGGGTTGTTTTTATTTTACAAATCCAAGAACTCTGCCAGACATACATTACCATTTGTCACTTCTTTTTTTTGCATTGTCAAAATACACCTAGCCTGCCTGTGGGTACATGTTCTCACCCATCCCTGGTTACTTGGAGAGGCTACCATTGTGAGGGAGAGAAGGCTACTTATTTACAGCACATTCCAGGGCATGCCCTTTTCCCTGCTGTATTTGGTCTCCATACTCCGCCTGAAGTCCAGGTGTACTCAGTGTGTACCGATGAGGGTTTGGTAAGCAAAGGATCGTGCCACCAAGTCAGCAAGCCGTAATACCATCTCCGTTGAAAGAAAAAACATAAGATTCTGTCTTGTACAAGAGAATGTGGACTCACTTCTGTTGTCGCAGTCGTCCTGTAGGCACACTTTGGTCTCTACGCTGGGACCGTCGCAGGGGTAGTTGACACGGTCGCACGATCGGCCTCGCTGCTGTGTGCCGGGTCCGCAAGTGGCGCTGCACGGCGTCCAGTCGGACCACTGACTCCATCCGACCTCCGCGTCGTCCCCACCTGGAAGGGATTGGCATATTATCATCACACGTACGGACGTGATACTAGCACCGGTATGACACGGAATGTACACACTCCTGTGCCATACCCGGGCCGGACTTTCCCCACAAACATCTCTCTGTACACACAAGTGGCTCACATATTCTACCTTCAGAACCGGGCCTTCTACCAAGTGTCACAAGATCCTACGTGGTTGATTTGAAATTTATTGAAATGTTGAGATACGTTACCAATGTTGCGTACACTTTTTTTTTCTTTTGGTGCCCTCAGGCTGACCTGCCTGTTAAACATACATACTCAGGAATGACAGGGTTGCACCAATGCTGCAATAGTCCAGTTGTCACGGGAACATTTTTGATGTCAGTCAAAACACTCAAGGCTGGATGCCATTCTGGTTAGGCATACATCTGTTCTGATAGAACAGACATAGTCCTAAACAGATCGAGGCTACAAACACTGCTTAGAAAGTTGGAGAGTCATGTTCTTGGGGCTACTTACTGAGGGGACAGTAGGGGCAACAGTCAGACTCGCTGTCGAAAACTGGGTTGAGACATTGGACTGCCGGGCACTCGATCTTCTGACATGTAGTTCTGGAATCCTGGGAAAGACAAAATATTTCACAGTCAGGCAACAGCGAAAACTTGTGTGCTGAACACAAACAGCGAGATGAGGTGTTTGGAAAGCTATTCGACAGTCAACATAGTGAGGAAGGTAAATAACTCGGGTGGAAATGTGCAAAGCACCTTGGTGGCTCACCCTCTACCTTTTGAACTAAAACTGAAAATCTATCAAATAAAGACATACTAACTGTTTATATAACACCATCCAAATCTTGTAGTTTTTCACTCCAAAAAACATTACAATGCAAGTTCGATACTTTTTCACTTCAAAAATCAATCAAATTCTGTACAGTTGAGATTTGATTAGTCATTGGTAACATATTTAGTAATGGTGACTGCATCTACGTCATTGTCTGACCCGTCTAAACGTGCTTCGTATCAGTCTCAAAAAAATATTACAACAGAGGACTGGCACTTTTTCACTCCAAAGATCAATCTAAATTCAGAACAGTTGAGATTTGATTAGTCATTGGTATATTTAGTAACGGTGACTGCATCTACGTCATAAGTGTCATTCTTTGACCCGACTAACACGCGTTGTATCAGTTGCATGACAAAGCAATGATACCTGTGTTACAGATTTCTAGCCAACTGAACAGTGAACTTTTTTCTTTGTCTAAAACAGACTTTTGAGATTCTCCAGGACTGTCCTCAAATTAAGACACACTGTCTCTATCTAAGAGGCTCCAACCTTTATTAAGGTGAGGTGCTTGGGGCGTACAATCATTTCAGGTGGAAATTAGTACAAATATTCGAGCTATGCGGAGGAATGCGAAGTATGTGACCTGACCGCAAGACATGCCAAGCTTGAATTGGTTCATCAGACAAAACATGTACTAATTTGACAGAAAAATTTTAATGAAAGCCACTTTTCAATGCAATCATTCAGAGCAAGTTGCTGATGCCATAATTTCTAAATTAGCCCACTGTTCATGAGCATTTGTTGTACAATTCACATCAAGTTTTGTATTTGTAGGTTCTCTAGGCAACAAATTCTCCTTTTGCAAAAAAATATAAGGTATATTACAAATGACCTATAGATCTAAAGTTTTGTAACTCATTTCTACGTATTTCTTATTGTCTCGTCACAAAGTACGAAAGTTCCCCTGCAGGCCAAGAGGCACAGGTTTCCAGAAATGTGTCCTGGCGTGACTTTTTGTCACCCTTATCAGATCAATGGACATTTCACAGGACCAGCAAATACTTGCTCATATGTGTGAGGACAAACTCCTCAGGCACCTAAGGCCACACCAATTTGATGTGTTGGTTTTCCGATTTTTTTTCAGAAAAAAAATGAAGCGATTGGGTGAAAAGGAATCCTATGATAGCCCCAAATGCTACGATAGGAGCCATTTAAACAGTGAATTTCAAACTCTTAATCAAACCACTGCATTGATAGATGAAAAAAAAACTGTAACAACTCTGAAGAGAAGGAACTTTCTTAAACTGTTGAGGCCAATTCAGAGTTGATTCAGAGGCTGAAATGTTGGGGTTTTTTTTTTGCAAATCAGAGAAAAATGAAGCAGGCAAATCCATGAACCAACAAATTAAATGTGCCTGTGACAAGGATGTGCCTACTGACAGACAAAATATTCCTTGTTCACATTACTAGGTAAAAGTGAGCAGATGTCTTACCTGACAGTGACACTTGGTACAGCGGTTCTCCACCCAGTCCGCATGGTTGTCATAGAAACGGCCTTCCGCCCAGCAGCCTCCATGTGGAGGAGCGCCGATCTGCTTCCTCAAGATGTTGTTCTCTTCCCACTAGAAACAACAAAGAGACCAAACTATTGTAAGAGAGGAAATGCTAAATAGATGAAGACTGACATTCCAATGTCTTGTAAAATGGTTATAATGTACTTGGACAGCAAAATTCCATCAAATGACGGAAAGACGGGTGCTGGCTAGATCACTGAGTCAAAACACCCACCATCTTCTGTAGTCCATCCTCCACGTTGTTGAGGTGAATTCTAAGATCCTTGATCTGTTTCTTCAAGTCGTCCAGGTCTTCGCAGGAGACTTCGCACTCGTCGGTGGGCTGGGGGATGAGCTTGAACTTCCTGGTCAGGACGCTGCTCTTGGCAGCTGCGGTCTGGGTGATGTTACCTGTGTTGTATTCTGAACCTGAAACATAAAACAGAGGCACATTTTTCTTAAGCGGACTAAATAGGTAACATTGCAAATCTTTTCTCTGTAGTGAAATTACAATTTGAAGTACTGAGGGTCTCTAAAACTTAACTTTTCCCAGAAGAGCCTTGGGCAGGGTACAATGTTTAATGGTGTATACGAAACCCAGGGTGTCAGTGTCCCCAAGCGACCAAAGGTCACACATGTGTCACAAAACACGCAGAGAGTATAATCTTTTCATCAACGTCAGAAGAATTCTTCTCAGTACCGAGACTAAATCAAACTGACATGTTAGAGCACCAACAATGCGAGGGCAGTCAACTTTCTCCCGCTTCTAAACAACAAGCAGTGTCTTCGCAAGCCAGCCTGGCGCCTGAACTGTTTTTAAGTGGCACAGATTGGGTACGGGTCATTAGGGTACTTGCGACGGCTAATTCTCCAAAACGCACATGACCTTCCCCGACATGGCGTGGCTTTTTAGTTCAAAACAGACCGTCCACACACCCAGCACCCAGCTTAACGCCTTGCACATGGTAAAGCCCTTTTACCCACTGGTAAATACTTTAATATTCGGAGCTTATGTATTGGATGGGACTTCCCAGGTAGAAGTAATGAGGTATTACAACACAAAGTACGGCTAAAGGACGTCGGCGGCGATCTTTGTTACTTGTCACGTCATGGACATACTTGGTATTTTTACGCTGGACCTACGCTCCTCCGATGTTCGTTTTAGTTTCGGCAATAAAGTGACGAGAATTTTATGTTTTTGGCAATATTTTTTCTGGCAATCTCAGGTGTAGAGGATTTGTTTTTTCCTGGATTCGCGTGTTCTGATCTCCCTCTGGTGTGAATGTGTGTAATGGGCCGTATGTAGTCGTCCCCTAACCTCACTAATAACGCTTGATAATTGCGCTGCTGGCCATAGGATTTAAATACTAAGCTATGACGTGAACGCTTGGGCAAGAGCCAAAAAAACACCACAGAAAATGCAAATAGCGTGTGCACTGTTGAGCGGATCGAGAGAGGACGATATGTAGCCTAAGGTACTAGCCTTCTCCAAGGAAATTGTCTATGCGATGCCATGTGAGTTACGGGGAAGGGCGAATCCCTAAGGGCGGTAGAGCACAATACTGTCTATGTGCCCTATCTCAACCTCCGGAATTTCTCACATTCTTCTCTCTCACGTAAACGATGTAACCAAGGTACATGTGCCCACCAGACTGTTCATTTTTTTAACCAAAAAAAGGAATCACAAACACCAAAGAGGTTTACAAAGGTCTCATTACAGAGACGAAAATGTCAATTTGGGGACAATTGAATCCCGTACCAAAGAACGAAGGAAAAGGTGAAGAGGTACTTACTGACTTACCGTGGGCGAAAGAAAACCCTTGATAATTTCAATCGAACGTTTATTGAGAAACAAGGGACCAGTGTTACACGTGTGAACAGCACTCAACTCAGGCCACTTCCGGGGATGGAGAAGAGGAGAGACCTTTAAACTCTAAAAACCCGACCACACTTCCCCCGTGCTTCTTTGATACTGCACAATGCGCAATTGTAAATCACACAGAGATGCATGTCTGTGACCTGCCTGCCTGCACTGCTCAGCTGTACACTTCAACTCAAGTCGTCATTTTTTTATCCAAACAGTGGAGGAGGGGACTTCTACACAATGCACAATGAGTCCAGCTACGGACTTGGGTGCGAGTTCCGTATCCTGAAGTTTAGTAGTCGGTGCGAGAGACGTGACTTCCTTCCTTGTTAAACTTTTCCAAGGAAATGTCGAGAAGGGAACTCAAATATTTGTGTTAGAAGGTTTGGCTCGGCCTCTGCGGATCGTGTACAGGAAGTTTGTTATTAAGAGCAGGCGTGGCAAATGATAGACCAACGGACGGAAGTGGGACGATACTTGTATTAATAGGTAGTAGTGAGGCTATATTAGGACGTGACACACATTCTGAGCTAGGCAAGAAGCGCAGGTGTAAGTTTGGCCGTGCCAACCGCAAGCCAGCACATCCTGCTCTCTGTGGTGAGTAATCCTCAACCTTGGTTGGAAATCGGGTGTTAGAGGCCTGACTCAAAACCGCAGAGGGTCGCGGAAAGCACTAACCAGAAAGAAAAGTCACTTTCCCACAGGGAAAACCGCTATCAGTTCACATAAGCGAAAAGTAAAAGTCCCTCGGGAAGTATTAAAAAGAGAAACGCAGTAGCAGCCCAGGGATGTAGACTTTCTTCACCTGCAAACGCTCTAGCCTGTGGGGACCATTTGTAACACGACGCCGCACACATGTGGACTCGCTATTAAAAACTTTGGTCAATTCGGTATATGAAAAACATACTTCAGCGAATTAGAGTGGAAAACGACGGGGGTCTAAATCAACCATCATCGAGCCTGTAATTAAAAAGACGTGTCTCTTGAAATTGGATTAAACTGCACCAATAATACGCTATAATCAAGATAGGGGCTTGTCTGGGACATGTTGTTCTAATTATGATTAGGTGAGCCGTGTTTAAACACCCTCGGCGAGCACTTGTTATCGGGGTGGGGTGAGCTTGTCAGCGTGCGTGATTTGTAGCACAACATCAACATTTTCAGCTACCGGGTACGGTTTGAACCGGCTGGGGGAATCACCCTGCCCGCCCCGACCTCCCCCACTGCCCCCGAACGGTATTCAAAAATTTGTCTCCCCCAATCCTCTTACGATAACTTTCCGAGCCGTCTGTTTCAAGATCACAGAGGTGACATTCGTTAGAATTTGGATCCAAGCCTGGGACAATGCATTTGCGAGCCAATGACGAAATCCCCAGGGGGCATACGTTGTCTCGCATACATGTCGGCACGGAAAGCCATTGTGACGCAGGTAGAAGTGCACAATGTCTACCACGTCAGTAGACCCCGGGGCACAACACTGGGATAAAAACATTCCAACTTGTCAAAGGTGAGCCGAGGTGGGTTGGATTGTTTGGCGGGCTAGGCGATCAAACGAACCGCGCGTGTTCCTTACCTGTGTCCGGTGCGCAGCCCTGCAGGTGGAGAATGTTGGACACCGGGATTCCAAAGATGAACTTCACACTCTGCATCACACCCTGTCAAAAACAATCAAAAAATTCCTCAGTAAATCGGCGAATGTAGCGAGGAATAAAAAAAATTGGGTAAGTGCCAGGAGAGATATCCAATCCACCAAGGAAGGACAGGTCAGGAGAGAGGAAGCTCGCATCAGGGGATGGGTATCATGACACCAGGCGCAACCCCATCTCTGGCTGGCCGTGAGGACACGTGGTGGTGTTGTTTGGGTGGACGCCAGCTGAGCTGGCAGGGGAAGTATCGGTTACAGGTGTCAGATGACGGGGTATGCGGCTGCGCTACCCCGCGCGTGGACTTGACATGCCTGGGCGCAGCGTGCTGGCGCGCCGCCTCGCAGGGCAGGTCATAAATCCGCACACCGGGTCATCGTTTAGCTTCAAGCATAAACAGCCACAAAATCACACAATCTCTAACAGCCTCATCCTTGATCCTTACAAATTACGCACATCATCATACACTAAATGTCATGAAACAATTACGTCTCCATAGCAACTCTGATACTGTCGACTATGTCGTCAATGTGACGGGTGCCCGTTTGACAAATATGAAAACTGATAAACATGGGTCAAAAGGGGGTTTAACAGAGGTGAAAAAGAATTGAAAAACGAACCCTGTAGTCTTCGAAGGCCTCCCGGGCCGGTAGACCCTTCCCCAGGCGGAGCTCGCTCTGTCCGGGCTGGAGGACGGTCTGGAAGATGTTCCCCATCAGGCCCTGCTCGCCCACCTTGGTACATCCGTCGAAGAGCGCGATCAGGTCCCCCTGCACCACCAAGGTCAGGTTGCGCCAATCCCGGGTGGCGAAGTTGACGCCGTCGAACGAGGCCGCCACTTCCTTGCCCTCGTGCATGTACACCACGTCCACCGAGGGCGTCTGGCCGTCACTCTGGATGCCGAAGTATCTGGTCCTGCCGTCGGGCGAGTCGACCGACACGAGCGTGCCACGGTTCCGCCGGTCCTGCCGAAGGGCCGCGACGAACACAAAGCCGTGATTCGACATCATCGCGTCGACGATGCTGGCCTGGGCCTCGGGGCTGGCCGGCAAGTCGACGTCGGGCCGGTTGTGGAACTTGTAGGCCGGTGAATACTGATCGAGCCCCCGCACTTTCTTCACTCCCTGTGTGCTCGCCCCAAGACTCGTCGATTCAAACAGGTCAAACATCGCTCTTTTTACCCGCACTGGAAGAAAGTATCGAGGAGAAAAGGCGTCACGGACAACGCTGAGATAGGGCGACTTGAAAGCAAAAGCGAAGACGCGACAACAAAGGGCCAACAAAAAGGTCTAAATCCCGACAAAAAATGTTTCACAGAGACTTAATCAGCGTAACCAGAGATTACCACATGCGAAGTGCTAGTGTACGTAAGAAAGAAGAAAACAATGACAAAACAGACGAGGCACCCACCTTTCTCCTGTGCGATCACCAGCTCGGTTACAGCTAACACGTACAGCACGCACAGCGCTAATCTCACAACTCTCTCTCTCCACATTGTTGACGCCGTCCTTTCTACTTGCTGCTTCCCTCGCACTTGTCAAAGTTCCCTGTACACGGGAAAAGTTACCAAAGAACACTTTGTAGTTGGAAAGACGGAAAAAGATTGCGTTCGCCGATTGAAAAACTCAATATAAAAGCGAGATATCCTCGGGCCTCCACAACGTAACTCGCGCCGGGGACGCTCGAGGGTCCTACCTGGTCGGACGGGCGCAGCTTCGAGTTCGCTCCGATAAAATCCCAGATAAGTTCGCGACAACCTCGAGGATAAGTGCACACGGCGGTGCTAGACTGACAATAACGTCGGCTCTACCAGCTAGACAAGAACGAACACCACTGGCAAGAAGAGAGAGGCTTTTTATATCCACAACTCGGCGCTGAAAACCCATGTGTCAATCAAGCCTTGGGGAGGAGGACTCTTCCCGTGATTAACATGGAGTGGGCGGTATTCCGTAACGTGAGTTGATTCGTCACTACCTGTTCGGTTTCTGGGAAAATCTTCCAATGACGTCTGCCGCGGGAAGACCAAATTTGGACTAAGTGCCCTGTGTTGATAACTCCAGGCTGGTCACCGTAGATAATTGTATCCAGAAGTTGGGAACGAATGGACGCGTTTTCGTTGTGAATGGGCGCAATGGCAGGCACGGCCTTGGGCAGGGGGCGGGGCCAGCAGATGTTATCGGCCAATAGCAGACATGGTCGCGTGCGACGCTGCCCAAAATCGGCAGTATTTGTTGTGCAAACATGAGGTCATAGTCTGGGCGGGTATATCCCCATGGTCGTGTGCCTGACTTTCATTACCAATTCCGCTGGATTTCTAACACCCTGGCGATTTGCGCAGAAATTGTTTCGTATAAAATTCCTGGGCAGAAACCATGCGCGTAAAAACGCGGTGGGGTCAGATATGTACCGACAAGCTGGCTCCAGTGTTGCCGCTTGCCGCATGCTAATGTACCTCAACAAACCGCCCCTGTTTACCACAAAGACACTCTCTTCTCACTCCGGTGATATAACGATTTTCTCTTTTCCCGATAAAACAAGGGTCTAATTGTTGTAAGTTGCCTAGGAGTAAATGTATGGTTGGCAACCGGCCAAACTCCTGATATCATCAGGTTACCGAAGTTTACTTTCACCGTGCGGTACCGTCACACGGACACCAGAGGAGATAGGACACCAGTGATGACAGCTTGACGTACAGTTACCGGTTCAAACCTGTATCTGACACAATCACACAGTCATGCCAGGGCAGATGTGCGCCTCACACAGTGGGACGGGATGACACTGGTGTATCTTTAACCCTTGTGGTTATGGTATGCAAGAAATTCAGGTATACCCCCAGTAGGTGGCTAGGATATGTGATTCACACTTCCTGACGTTCTGGACCTGATCTGTGTTAGCTAGAACCGTTTGCTTATACAGTTGCTTACACGACACACACGTTGCTACAACAGTCAGTAGTTGTAAACATACACGCGCAGCGTTGAGAAGTAGAGAGCTGGAGGGGAGGTAGTGAAAACATTGCGGGGGAGGGCGACAGGGGCGCTGGCCTGGCGCGCGCTGAGAGGGCTGAAATTTCAATGTTTCGGTGTTTTCTGTACTCGTGACATGTTCTTCCCCTGCTGCTGACACTTCTCCCGCCCTGGGAGACCACTTTATCTTCGCCATCGCGGAGTTGTTCATCTGCACGGCCCATGTGTGTGCGTGAGCTGACAACGCTTGTTTTGGAATTCCGAAGAAGAAAAAAAAAAGAAGGGCGTGGGCTACCGGAAAGTCTAAACCAAATCCTGTGGTTGTGCACGTCGGGGATTACCAAGACGTACCAGGCCCCAGGCCAGTCCGTTTGGTAACAAGTGTCTAGACGAGAAAGTAGAAAGTGACGGAGACGCTTCTTTACACATCGTACACACTTCTTATCTTCAGAGACCAATTAAAGAACGCTCAGGGGTGTAGCATGTCTGGTCCACTCTGTCGGCGGCCGGACGTAGACCGAGACCAGAATACGTCACACGACGTTTGATCGGAAACGTCACATTATTTCATTAAAATTCCCCACTCGATATTTCCTTTTACTTCTTAATGAGGCGTGATGAAGTAAACAGGAACAAATAAAAAGAATCTGACATTTAGACTCATCACGTACTTTTTTGTGACTCAGGACAACGCCAAGCGCTTTGGTGATGCGAAGGTTGGATGCTGTACGTACATTTTGTGTTAAATGGATTATATCTGATTACAGACGTCAGAGTAAGTGGGTGGAAAAAAAAAAGAATCTCCATTTATCTCAATCCGCAAACGTTTCTCACACGCTGTCATCCGCCGAGGTCATCCACCTCGTGTGTTATCGTCCTCAGATGGAGTTCACGGACTGTCCGTCCCGTGTCCGTGTGTTGGCAGGACGGTACGCGGTTCTGAACGTAAGACGCGGCCACGTGAGAGTACCGCCGCCACGTGAGGATGGCCCGCCCGCCTGCTGTGCCGGGCGTTACCTGCTGGACGTGGCTTGAGGCCATGTCTTTCAGGGCGCGCACGCATTGAGAGAGATTAGTCGGCCCGTTTCAACACTGACCACGAATCGAGACACCATGCCCTTCGGCACATAACGTGACGGTTGTGTTGAGGCAACAGACCGCGGGGTTAACGTCCTGACCAAAACAGTCGGCCGTGTTTCCACGGGATCGGGTGTTCATCCCAAGACAAGACGCTCTGTGCCGGTTAAATCTTTCCCGACGACCTATACTGAACAAGCAATCCCTCTTGTGGAGGATATAGGTGACTTTTGTTAGAGCAACAATGGAGGATTGTCCGCTGACCTAGGACAGTTACACGGACCGTGGTAGTCTGGTCCTGTCGTCTCGAAGGAAGAGTTATTTTCAGGGTCCTAATGACGACACAAATCACCGAGGGTGACCCAGTTTTGAGGTGTTGCACATATAAAGCGCCTTTCTGTTGGTGTTGATGCTTTCATCAGTGATGATAGGGTTAATAACAACACTGCATACACACACGACTCCAAGATAAAGCTTTATGAAATTTTTCTATTGTGTTATTAGGATCTGATATGGCAAGTGATAAGTCTAAGATGATAAGTCCCTGGCAAAGTCACCGAAAAGTTTGGCAGGTATACGTAGTATACACACATACTGAACTCATCTCGTAGAGGACTAGGGGTAAGATGTACCAACCGTTTATACTGTAGATGAAAAAGCGAAGAAATCTAGAAAATACCTGTATAGTTATTCCCACACTGAAAGATGTAATCTTTAATGCTATGCCCTTGTAAGTCAGCCGTGTCGCTTGGATCGGTCAGCCTTGTTCCCTGTTTCGGTAGATGAACACACAGGTGAGCCCGACCTCAGCCTGCCCTAGTTTGACTGACATGTGTGCATGTCACTTCCTCTAAATATAAACAGTGTTGGGGGTACCTTTGTGTATAGTAGAACAGAAGACAAGACAAAGGGAAAACACAGGGATACGGCGACTCAGTATCAGTGACAAGGAAAAGCATCAAATGTGTCTCAGTGACCCTGGCTATTTTTGCCGCCGTAAACAGTTTAAGATTTATAGACGTGCAGGATGCACTGTTGTGAACCGGAGACAGTGTGTGGAGGGCGGAAACTGTGCCTGACAAGACCTGGCAATGGCTATCAACAGTTCGTTCGTGCTTATAACACTTTCTGTTGTAGATATTGGCCGGGGTTTCCTTCCACACCGCTAGAAGAGAGCTCGGCTTCACGTAACGTAACCCAGAAAGTAGCCATTTGGCAGCGTGACGCAACAAAGTACTAGGAAAACATGTTTCCCATCACGAGGGGTTGTTTTGCCTCTCCGCTGCCCAGTTGGAAGCAGCGGACGCCGGTACAAAGCAAAGATGCCTGACAAGGTGACTTGTGGTATGACTGGCACGCGGAGGGCCTTTACGTATCCGTGCTATGTGCCGCGCGCACGTGAAGGGCACCGCCCGTTTCCGCAGGCGCAGTCACCGCTTCTTCTCTTCGTCTTCCTCGGTACATGTCAACTCGTCATGACACGAGCGAGGACCACCGGCCACTGAAAGGAACAGATTTACGAACACTTTACGTATACTGTGTCTCGCACATCATCAATGTTGTCTCGCACATAGACACGTACATACTTTCATTCAAAAGCTCTCTTTCTTCTCATGCTATAGTAACAGTCGAAATCAGTCGCTGGCTTCCATAAGTGTTCAGCCTCTTGTCAAAGGGAACGCCAACTCAGCAAACATACGACCAACCGTACAAGCTACTTAGTGCTGAATATATAAGTACACCTACACGGAATTTTAACTCATAACCACTCCGACAACGTCTACTATCTTTTTGTACGTGTACATGTTCATTACACACCTTCGTTTTAACGTTGCCTGAACTTCCGAAATGCACCTGTTTTCATTCATCTGAAAGTACTAGTACATCCAAATACATTGAAGGATGGATGACTGAGAATTTCCACAGAAAGTCTTTCGGTGTACTTGTTATTACGTTATTTTCGTATCATTAGTATTAGGTAGGTTAAATGTATACTGCTGTATACTACGTCAATGGCCAGTTCTAGACCGAAGGCCTGCTGTTTTGGGACGTTCGCATGTCTGGCACAGCGAGTACAGTGATGTCAGCAAGTAGATGCAGATGTTGGCCACGTCTGGTTACCTGGGGTCGTCAGTACGGTACAGAAAACAACTTCCAAAGTCCACACAACTTCCCTGTACAGAAGTCACGGGCAGGGCACGGCGTGTAGGCGGCGTCAGCCACTCGGCCTTGAACGTCCTAATATGGTGCTGGATCATGAGAAACATACTTGAAATTCATACTTTCTGAACGTGTACTTAACAGGGAATGTTACCAATTTTAATAGGACTGTCCCTTGGTACAGGATAAGCCCTCCCTCGCTAAAGGAAGGGGGGAGGGAGGAACTGTGTTCTATCGAGATGATATATTGTTGAAAACTGCTGCAGCGTTTTGTTAGGAATTTGCAATAATCTAAAACAGTTGGCATTATATGGGTAATTCAAAAGGTTGACCTTACAAATATACTGAAAAGGTCGGTGCGTGTGTGCAAAGGGAGGGGGGGGGTGAACCACTTAGCATGACCGACTGTAACCTGCGTTTGACAGTATGTGCATGTGGCGGGATCAAATGATTCAAATCTCAGATGTCTTGTCCATACAAACCTTGTAGACCTGGAGAAGTTCACTGGCAACCACAGCTCGAACACAAGCCACAAGTGCGGTACCCCTAACTCACGTGGCTCTGACCGAGAAATGCCCCTCTCTACCAAACAAGTTCTAGGGCCTTCTAGAGCAGTGTATGTATCGGGAGCAAAGAAATGTCAGTGTTTGGCAAATAGTTTCATCTAACAAGCACGCGAGAGTTAAAGCTGTGGAATATAAATCTGTAATTCCGGACCTGCTGACTTTCACAATCTGATCGTAGATCTCAGAGAGGCGCACGCAATCGTAGCTTGTATGGGAAGGGACTGAAAACACAGTTCTCAGAAAAGCTCCGATATCATATAAATGGATTGTTAAAACCGCCATAAAAACAACTACTAACAGAAAAAACATGGCCAAACCAGCGCTGTGCTAATTATTGCATCGGCAAACATTTCTTTTCACACAATCAGACATGCCCAATTTGCCATTGTTTTCACAGACACGTCCTAATCTGCGTTTGAGTTCATTAAACAAGTCTTCTTGACACCTCGAAGTGTGAGAATGATCGCGAAATGATCCTGTATTATCTGTCGCACCATGGTGTCAAGTTACGGAGGTGACAAGGGGTCTCCATTGAAGACTCGCGATAAGATAAACACGTAATTCAGCAGTCGGGAACACCCGCTGGGTCCAGCTTCTTCAGAGTAAACTCCGGTAGCAGCGGGGATAATAGAAACACTCTGGGTCGCCTGGGGAGTAGTTTAGTGAAAGGAAACTCTGAATTAAGCAGAAGGGGACCACTACACGGGCCACTTCCGGAAAAGTGAGACCGCTTTTTGGCAGTGATCAGGACTCGGGAAGGACGGCAAAAGTGGACAATTGGCTATCTCTGGTGCAGGCGTTTCCGCAGTTGAGACTGTTTGCGGCTGAAGCCGGTAGTTCTTTTAGCTTAGCACGCAGATCAGTACCAGTCTAGGGTAAACACTCAAGTGCGGTCAGCCTAGATAGAGACTTTCTGTTTATGTATGAGGAAGGATGGTTGTCGGCCCGGTCTAGCTAACCAAGCCTATGTGATAGGATGAACAGTAAAAGGTGTGAACATTCATGTATCTGAAAAACAGGAGAAGAAATACAGAGAACAGGGCGATCTCTTAAACTGAAAAGGAACATGCTACATCTTGGCCTTTACCTCGGAAGTGACTGGACTTAGTAGAAATTGGCCAAATAGACAGATAACATGCCAGAGGAGTTGGTCCACTAAAAGGAGTATTCAGTTCGGAAGGCGGCAAATACTTCTTTAGCTGACCAACTCCCCTGGCATGTTATCTATTTGGCCAACTTCTACTCAGTCCAGTCACTTTGAAGCTTCCAAGGCCTGATAGAGGCTACGTACTAGTAAATCTCACTACTTACCTAAAATCCCAGTGGTCTTCTTACTTTCCCCAGAAGGTTGTCCTGAGATATCCTAAGCCTCCTGTTGAGAAGTCTTCCTCAGTTCTTCAACTACAGGTCAGTGACACCATCCCAGGACTTCCCCGCTCTTTGTATTTTGGGCACTGTGCGTGCTCAATTGCTGCAGCCCCCAGACTGTTACACAGTAGGACATTTTTATGGTGAAATATTAGTAGGGGTGTCTGATTCCACGCACCTGCGTGTGACCAGCAAACTTGTAGTGTTGACAACATATGGGTTATGGCAATCCCTTTGCAAACGTTCTGACAACATGGCCAATCATGCTTGGATACCTGTTTGGTGAAGATGTTGCTAACTATTAACCAAACATATGTACTGGGCAGAATGTAACAGTGTGTCTAGACATGTGCAAAGATATTGAGGGGTGGCCTGGTAGGGTAACCTAATTATTTTTCTTACTGGAGATGTCAGAAGTCTACAATGGTGCTAGGATGTTGCCTGTAAAGAGGGTCTGCATGGGGGGATCCCAGCAATGCTTAAGTAAATTTAGGAGTAAGGTAAAAATTTTCTAAAATAAGTTTTTCTTTTGAAAATCTTTGGGAGCAACTTCATTGGAATATTTCTTTGTATCTATGGGGTGCCTGGCAAAACTTAGTCTGCAGACCTTGGGTTATGATTTCGGGGCAATCTGACTGTTCACTATAACATACAAAGAATTTTTCAATAACACTTAACATTGAATTGAACTTGAAGATAACAAATGACGTGCTACAAGGAATTTAAGTGAACAATTACGCTTCACGAATTTCCAGACAAAGCTTAACAACATTGTCTTAACAGGTTATCTGTGAATTAAAATGGCTTGCGAGCCTCATGGAAAAAGGCAAGCAGACCCTCTATAAAAGTGGCCAGTGTTGGTGGTCGACAGTGATTACATGTACACTTGTCATCTCACCATACCCCACTCGGCTCACAACAGCTTATACTGTTAAAAGTCAGACTCCCATTTCCAAACCAGGGCCCGGCCGGGTTGTTCACTTTTAAGAAAAACAATTCAGATCAAGAATACAAATAGTCTTCATGATTAATTTTTTGTTTGTTTTGTTTTTATATCATAATTTCATTCCCACAAACTGCCCAGCCAGTCCCTGGGTCGGGAATTGTGACCTTACTGTCCTTAGCATTGCTGTGTATCTGACGATAGGATAATTTCAACTATAATTTAGCATTTTCAGCCTCTTTTTTCCTCCCTCCAGCGTGGGGACAGCCCTGCTTGTTGACCATCTGAGGGGCAGGCACTTGTACAGGGAAGGTATGTTAGGATGCTGGCACACTTCCCAATATGGGAAGAGGTGCATCAGAATGCTGCTGCCTGCTGTTTACGACAGTTTGGAAAAAAATCTTCTGACATCCCCAAATATTGACCCAGCACTTGGAGACGGTAGCGGCTGGTAGTAGCTGCGGTGTCATCGTGTGCTACATACAACGTTGAACAGTCCTGGACTTGTAAATGCGAAGATGTCAAATTCTGTGAGAAAGTGACAAACCTTCGCATTCTTCGACATCACGTACTAAGACCGAAAGTGTGTCGGAATTTTACACCGAGGGCATTAAGTTCTGGATAAAGACCGATTTGTAATCTAACCAAGATTTATCTCAGGCTTTAAAAGTTTCCTGGCTAAATAAATCTTTTATAGTGCAGTTTGTACGGGATCTGAATGGACCTAGAAGTACTCTATGCGATGTGTTAAGTAGGACACTGCACACTTGTTATCTGAGCAGTCAAGGCATGTGGGGGAATATGGCACTGGAGGAATCCTGTCAATACATGTACTTCATTGCAAATATTGTTAAAATACCAAAGCATACCAGTTAAGAAAGCAAAACGAGGGGTAGTCCCCTTTGGGGGACAGTGTGGGTATTTTCCATGACAGGTTCTCAGTGATTGTAACATTTGGGGACAGTAGATTGACAGACATGTCTACTCCCCAGCTAGGGGGTAGTCTGTCCTGAGGGGGTCCTGTAGATGTCATGTCAACCTGTGCCATCCTGGGCTTCACCACTGACAGCTGCTATCTCTAGGCAGCGCCAAACACTGACAGTTTAGACAGGGCAACGGACACCCAGACACCCAGGGCATGCACTATGCTACCCTATTCCATTGCTGTCTTATCTGTGCATAGACAGAAAGTTGGGTTCTCTTCCCAACTTGTGAAGAAGATTCTGGTGTGTCCTAGGCTTCAGTACTGACAGCTGCTGTCTCTGGACACTGACAGTTTAGACAGGGCAACAGACACCCAGACACCCAGGGCATGCACTATGCTACCTCTGTCATCCCAGCACTAACAGTGGACTGGACCTGATGGACACAATGATGGTCATACATGTTTGTATTCCCAGTGGGTTCCATCATCATGTGTCTGTAAGCCAACATCAATGTCAGCAGACACTGCGTCATCACCTCACTGGTCCATGTACTACCGGTAGATCAGTGTTCTAGCCAGTGTCTTGTCTTTCCATCATTTGACAGGAATTTTCTGATCAAAAATCATCTTTGATGGACAAAAGTCGGTGTTTAAAGATATGGAAAGAGATGTCACTAGGCTTAGGATACCAGCAAAATTTGTCCCTCAAAAATGCAGAAAATAGTGTTTCAGAAGATTTCCAAATTTTCCCAGGAAAGCACATGCCCCCAGACCTCTCTATGATGTCTTTGCTGCTCAACACAATGTTATGGCAAACAAAATTAAGATGACAGAAAAAATAATTCAGGCTAGGTAGATAGAACACTCTAGTAGATGAAGGAAGGCTAGGGAAATAATGACACATTCACTTGTATTGTAAATTCCATCTCGTCTTTGTAATTGTATGCAAAGGATAATAATTTTACAGTACAAATTTCACAGAATTACTGTTCAGTCACAAAATTGTATGTCCAGACAGTGATACATAATGACTACTTTTCCAGAAGTCTCTATCAAGAAACTCCTAGTTATGTGTTGTGAACATCTAGAAGACATCAGATTTCAAATATCTGTAACAGAGAACATTTCTTCCTACAGGAACCTGACTATAGGCAACACAACTCTTGTATCTAGGGGAACAAAAGTACCAACAATTGTACTACAGTCAAACCTGTACAAGTGACCACCTCTACATAAGAACCACCTGGTCAAAAAAATCATGACCTCTTTATTATGGTCCCTTTGATAATTATGCCCCTTGAAACAAGTACATGTATAAAGAATCCTGTTCACATAGACTAGATTTTACCAGCTCCCTGAGTGGTCTTCTTGGCAGGTTTGACTGCACAGCAAATGGCAATCTGGACTGAGACAATTATACTGCCTGTCAACGGCTTGACATTGAGGCAATTACCTATTTGAGAAACATGTTCACAGTGCACTGAGAGCTTGAGTAGATGGCAATCACAACTGTAGAATGGTGCCAACACTAGTGTGGGTACCTCCTGCCTGGAACCATGTAGGTGGGGTGCACCGTGCACTGTCTTCAACTGCTGAGCAGAACTGTTACCCATTCTGCAAAAATGTGCGCAACAACAATGTGGTTATATTCAAGTAAGATATTAATGTAATGTCTGTACTTCACTTGTAAGAGATGTACAATAAAAGATCTTTCATTCATTTTATATTTTGGAAGCCAAGTTGAGAAAACTGCACTTGTGAACAGCAAACTATACTTCCCAAACATGGTTTTACTAGTATATAACCTCCCGTATCTGTCATCAATGCTGGGTTCAGGAAGAAGAAAATTAAAAGAAAATCCTACAGGTAAAACTGCCACCTACCCAGAAGTGAGCAAATTGATCACAAGCATAAAAGATGCCTAATTCTAGGAGGCATGATAAAATGTGTTTTACATTTGAGGGGTTTTGAATAATGAAAAAACAGAAGGCATTTTTACCATGCACAATGCCCTGAACTTCAACATCAAATCAAATCTGACATTCTTTCTGTGCCAATAGATAGCTTGCATAGTTGGATGCAAAGGAGTAGGGGGTGAAAAAGGTTAGAACTCCCCCTTATCATACCAACATAAGTATTTCATTAGGGTTTTCTGATTTACAAAATGCACAGCTACAAATGTAGTTGGGCCAACTCCACTTTTCCAAACCAGCTTTCTTTAAAAAAAATTACTTTTAGAGTCTTATGTACAGTCTTCCTAAGCATGCCACTGATGGCTCATGCTTCACGTGTCTATTGAGATCCCAAACCTACACTGCTTTAGGGTATTGCACACGTGTCAAGTTGACCATGACCTCTTATGCAACAGCTAACCCTTTTCAGGCTAGGAGGGCCAAAATAGAAGTGTACGTTTGCCAGGGGTGGTAGAGACAGGAACGCCATGTCATTGCTCTGAAGCCAACTTTGCCATTAATGACATTTTTGGCATACATTTGAACTACATTCTGAAAAATAAGTGGACAAAAACAACTTCATTGGTATGATATGGTCCATAAGAAACAGCCTACAATGAAGCAACAGTTACTGATAAAAGCAAATTTGGAGTAATGCTCTTGAGCGAAAAGCAAAGACTTTCATTTTGACAAGTTATACCTCACACATTAACTCTGACAGGCGGTTTCATTAGAGGGTACTTGCTAAAATGCTGCCCATTTCGGTGCCAGAGATTCACTGAGACGAAAGCTACCAGATAGGATCAACTTCAAGTTTCCAGTGTTGTTGACCAGATTAACCCTGTGAGGGGGAAACTACAGGTAGCTAGGAGAGATGTCAGAGAAAGTTTGGAACGCCCCGTACTCATAAGATGTTCTTGTGGCAAAAAGATGTTCCTGGCATCCCTCTCCGATGACAACTGATGAGGTCAAATGAGCTTGTTGCTGACGTGTGACCAGTCCTGACATTTACCTGTGAAAGCTATTTTTTGGCTGTGAAGGAGGGAAAATATCAGCTACTGTTTCAGCCCTGTTTGCTCAGTCCGAGAGCGGATTCCTGCGCAGCTACCGGCCTGGAACACTGACTGATGTTGTTGTTGTGCAACCTTTAACATTTGTGTAAGTACGGGTCAACATTTCCACTGATCAAGAGGGCCCTGTATTGTGAGGGTCAAGCCGCTATCCCCTGACATTTTGCTTGGAGTGTCCCCGTGTACTCAGTTAGGGACTGCCTTTGTCCCGGTAACAGTTTTGTTAAAGACTTATACACAATCTCCATGACAGCATGGCACTTATGCCAGGAATCGGCGAGGTATTTAGAAGAGCATTAGACCTTTTGGCCAGCATTTGCTCCTTTGCATCAGTGGGTAAATGAATTCTGAGCATACCGCTACTATTTAAATCATTGTGTTGACTAGTATGATATCTATAAGGCACCAGGGCAAGTGTTTCCAAGCACAACATTTACTCAACCCCAGAGGGACTCCATCCTTAAAATAAATCTACATCAAAAAAAGACATATTGTACAGTAGTCAACTGATCTCTACTAGTAACTGACCAGGAGTAAATTTGTCCGAACCTTTTTTTTTGTCCGAACCAACCTGTCAATTATTCTACAGTTTACTTGCAAGATTCAGTCTAAAGTACATATACTTTGTCTAATGTTTCATTCAAAATTGTCTTTTGCAAAAGCTGATTCTTACACGTCTTAATTGATGTTAAAGCTCTACAAAATATTGAAAGTTCCCTCTGTATGATTTCTGTTTAGGTAATGTGCAACTACCTGAAACAACAAAAACAAAGATCTGTAATTGTACGGTAGTTTGAAGTTAAGGAAAACATAACGTTTGTAACGGCAGCACGTGTTATTCATACCCTGTGGCTAATATTAGACTCCAAGGCTCCTCCTTGTTTGATTAACCCAAAGGGAGAAGGCCACCGCTATTTCTCACCGCCTTCCTAAGATGCTAATTCTTTAGAGAATGTCTCCACCAAGGTCGATTGTCCCAATAACATTCACCTCTTTTCAGACTCCCAGACTCCTTGTCTTGCGCCTCGGGCCAGTGTTTGAGAACCTTGACATTGAGCGTATATTAAGACCACGGCAAGTAAAACTACATGTATTTCTGGGTTGTGCCTTTGATAGATACGAAGAAAAGAAACACCCCCGTGCTGCAATACTTTCTTGTGCTGAGACGTGTCCTCTTTGGGGGAAACACATATATCTCCAGAGCTCAAGTACAGAAGTTCAACTTGGAAGACAGGCATCTATTTGCTTCGAAGTGATTTATTCTGCAAAGAGCACCTTTGTGTGCTATATCAGACACTAAGAACACAGCACGGACCAGAACAGGAAGACCAAACTGGCGCAAGCTGGACAAAACAGGAAACTGGACAATTGAAACTGTTTGAGCTTGAAGTACAAAATGTTTAAGCTGTATGTTATTTTGGCAAAATAGCCAGGAATCTTGCAGGGTATATTTGCTCTGCCATGGAGATGACAAAATGGGTGTCGTTGGCCTTCCAAGATGTACATATACTCGTATTTTACTAAGAACGCATGATAGATATCACCATCGTCACTGTCACGCGGGCAAAATGGCCCGGGGACATTTACCGAACCTGACTTCCGTTTCCTAGAACACATACGAACGGGATAAACATGCAGGGCAGGAAAGCCCTTTTACACGGCTGTGACATCATCAGTGACATCACCGTGTGACTCGGAGGTGAATCATGACTGATGCGCGTGGAGATAAGATCTGGCATTCTTGAGAATTAGAGGCAGGCACTTTCCGTCAGGTTGGCAGCCATGGCCGCTGGGCAGGAAGTGCTACCAGGGGGTCAGGTGTGATCACGGACATCTGGCTGCTGATGGACGCGGCTCTTCATTCCACGAACCCCCTGAACTCCAGAGGATCCTCCCATTGATGACGTACAGGCCAACTGAGGTGTCTGTGATGCAATAATGTCTGTAGGGCACCACACCATACATGGGCTGCCATGTGACCACTTTAACCTGGTGCAGCTTTCCACGAATTCAACTGTAGAACTTAGCTTTGTTCGATCTTAGTTGTAGTAGACCATACAGAAGTCCCAGTACTTCTGTTGAGTCCATTAAGAATCTATAATTCTACCCTGTTTCAGGGTAACAGTCTTGTCTGAAGAAGAAGAAGCCTTCCCCAAATTCAACAGTAGAGCATAGATTTAAACATTGAAGACACTGAGGCATGGGTACTCCTAAATCTTAACACATCTACCTATGGTATGAAAACAATGCAGTGACGTTTTTCACTAGTGACCTGGTAAGACTGTGAACACAGACAGACACATGTTGTTTGCATCCATACGACGACGTTGTCTCCCCGAAAAATCCGCACCTGGGTGAAAATTGTACGTGTCTACACGGTACAGTATGAGTTCGAGCCATGGCCACACAAAACATCTCACGCGACCACAGCCTTAATGTACTGCTAGTGCCAACACGGAGTGCCTGACCTAACCCTTTATGACATTCTCCAACATGCCAGGCATTCTAAATCCTCCCAAAGACTCCTGACGAGGAGACATCTTGCTGTTTGGCATCCAATCACCAGGGAAATTCGTTATGACTTCTCCTCGTTACGTACTTAGCACTTGACTTCAACGACTAAAAGGAAGGAACGTGTTTAAAGAATCTGTTGGGCTTGGCAATTTGTATGTGTGACTGTGAGCTTAACATTTGTTAAAGCTAAGGTTCTTCGGGCCTTTTCCTCTAAGTAAACTGAATGTCAAGTAGAGGGGGTATTTAGGCCTAAAGCTAAGTGCTAATCTTGGATCTGGCAAGGACAGTAACTCTATTAATAGGTACATTTAAATGTCCTACCACACTTATTGAAAAGTCCTTCCCAGTGTGAGTGGTTCAAACCTTACAGTCCGGTCTTACGCATCTTGTACTCACTGTACAAAGCTGGTCATGTGTTATGCCTAAAGGCAGTTTATCGATTGTGCGAAACACAAAGATCTTTTGGTGGCTGCAAGACAGTATCAAATTGGCAGGGCAGTATCAAGTTGGCTGTCAAATAAAAAGATACCAGGAAGACCAATAAAAATGCCTAAGAACGTGTCAAAACTAAGCCGAAGCTTGAACCTCTGCTTGGAGAGTACAATTTCATGGCCTGGTATATAAAATGCCCTGAAACTAGCAAAACCTTGGAATCAGCCAAGAATGCCACAGTGACTGTAAAAACTATTCTTAGATACAATAAAAGTGTAGACAAACACTGAATGTCAGTTGGAACTGGCGTTCAAGATGAAGTGATTAAGAAGGAGCGCAGCGGGGCATTCCGATCATGACCTTTTGGCCACACCTGTATGTCACTTCTATTTCCATCCTAAGTTATTGTCCTACATACTTAGATAGCATTTCTGAAGTGACCTACATGTAGTTTGCTGGGAAAAAAGACAAATGCAAGAATTGCCCTTGAGCTCCAGTTTCCAGTGGTAAGCAAAACACTTGGGAAAGTATTTCTGGAGGACTGCGGATTCTAACATCTTACCTGCCTGCTCCACCCTCCCGTAAAGTGTTCCTGACACTTTGTTTTCACAACCTGACTTTGCTAACCTTGTTGGTGGGTGTTCCTCTTGACAGAGAGACTTTTCCCTGATAAGCTATCTTGTTTAAGTACAACATAGAGCAATGGGACGACTTCTAAGAGGTAAGCAAGCTTTCCCTGGCTGTAACTTTCAGATGGGAAAGTTTACCTTTAACAGTGGTGTCCACGTTATACAACCAAAAACTTTCATTCTGTTCTTAGCTCGACTACAAGTTGTTGGAAATGGTAACAGTGAAAGCCAATGTAAAGGATGAAGCTATTCAGGAGATAAAAGGGGCAGATTAGAATATTGGTAGTGTCAGCTTGTCTTTTCATGAGTAACTAACTTGTTACTGGTACATCCAGCAAAGTAATAGAGGTACATTTACGTCTACACTTGATCTAGGGCACAGGCATTAAAATGTCTTGCAAATGTTAACAGCCTTGCCCAGTCTACTGTAAATCACAATTTTTTCACGGTACTGTGCTTTATATATTCATGGTTTTCACGACCACTTCTGTACCGTGAACTTATCATTGAAATGAACAAATAATTCCCTGACTTTCTTTGGGCTGCACCGGCCTCCACTGCGAATGTATAGTTCCGTGAACATGTCCATTTTCCTCAGACCGTGAACTTTTGCTACCACAAACATAGAGTGATTTACAGTATTCACCCCCTCCCCTTCAACACATAAAAAATTGGTTTACGCTTTATGACACAGCAGTGGCTGATAGGGCATATTTTTGGCCCACATCCTTCCCTTTCTCCAATGTCAAGGTCAAGTAAGATCGGGACAACCCAAGGACAGGAGTCTCCCCGATCCCTGTGAAATGTCGACCCACAGGTGGCTGAGTGGGTGGGAGAGGGACATCCAGTCACCCCTGTTCCTGCCAGAATCCTCCCTGGCTCCACACATGGTACTGATCTGCCCCAGCACAGGCAACTCAACAGTCCAAAATACCTCCCAGCCAGCGGATTCCAACACTTCAGTCACAAATTTACCACTTCCGGAAATATGGGTCAGGAAGTGAGATTTTCGCCGTTGCCAGTGCGGTAATACTGGGGACGGGACCGATAGTTTTGTCATGCCCTACATGTGTTCGTTATCACTCACAACACAATGAACAACGAGGAAAGAGGTGTAGATGGTTACAGATTAAACATCATAGCGGGTCTGCATGGGGGGATCCCATCATCGCTTAACGGTAAATTTAGGAAGGCCGATAACGCTTAACGGTACATTAGGTTGTTCTTGTGTAAGGCTTTGGGGACGACTTTTGTACTCATGGGGTGTCTGGCAAAACTAGTCTGTGGACCTTGGTGTTCCGTTATGATTTCAAGGGCAATAGGGCTATGCTATGTTATACAAAGAAAGGCCCTTATCAAAAGTGTATCTTAGTATGAAAACGTGAATATCAAGGAAGGCTCAGTTAAAAGGACTATCACAGAGATACTGTACTTTCTTCTCTCAGTACCTGGTGTACTTCTAAGTCACTTTGTAAAGGCAATGACTCAAGATCACATTCCTGAAATACAGCCTTGAGCAGGATCTAGGAGGACACTGTTAGCACTTATCTCACAGGAAAAGATTGAATTTTATACCAAGAATTTAAGAAAATCTTTTTTCCCCAGTTCCATATATGCTGATGGTGCTAGAGTTCGCAAAAGTGTTTCTCCTTCTCAGGAAGTATTGACTTTCCAACGACAAGTTGTGGTACGACAGTTCTCAGTGAATTTTATACCAAGAATCTAAGGAAATCCTTTTTTACCGCATATCCTGACCGTGCTAGAGGAGTGTCACTAACAAAAGTTTTCCTCATTCTCAGGAAGTATTGACTTTCCCAAAACAAATTGAGGGATGACAGTTCTCAGTGAATTTTATACCAAGAATTTAAGGAAATCCTTTTTTACCGCATATCCTGACAGTGCTAGAGGAGTGTCACTCCAGAGTCCAGAGAGTATTCCTCACTCTCAGGAAGTATTGACTTCCCCACAACAAACTGTGGGATGGACAGTTCTCTAGGGACATGTATACATCCTGTCATTAACCTTAACCATACAAATGGCAAGGTTGACAAATCCTTTAAAGCATACCGTGTACTAGAACCTTTATACCACTAGTACAAGTACTACCAATGGCAAAGTTGACAAATCTTTTAAAGCATGCACAAGCCTACTGTACTTAAACTTTCTACCATTGGTACTTGTAGGTACAATGTACTAGTACATGTACAAATGGCAAGGCTGACAAATCTTTTAAAGCATGCAGAAGTCTACTGTACTAGAACCTCTCTACCAGAATACAAATGGCAAGGCTGTACAATAGTCAAATGCAGGCTAAGTAATTTTGTGTCTTATTTCCAATATTCATATGTATTTTACTTGCCCAGTGTTTTTGAGTAATATGTTGACTGATATGAATAAAGATTGAAGATTGACTGACAGATAATGAACTCACTCTTACTCACTCACTCCTCACTCACTCCTCACTCACCCACTCAGTCTCTCACTCACTCACTCACTCACTCACTCACTCACTCACTCACTCACTCACTCACTCACTCACTCACTCACTCACTCACTCACTCTCTTCCATAGCTTTACTACTGGTAATATATATAATGTACATGTACACTGTATAAGGTACATATAAGGTAAGGTAAGGTAGACAATAGATATCTAAAAAGAGTCAATTCTCTTCTAATTGAAGATCTCCTGATTTATAACCGTCTTGATGACTTAGTAGAGCTAAATGCAACCAACTTAAAAAGATTAACTGAACTTCGTCATGCAAGCACACATGTAAGTGAGGGACTGAATAGCTAGCATTCCAGATGGTTTAGTGAGTGCCGCATCATGACATCACTAGGATATACACACCTTTCCCCCAAAGGCATTCAGTACCACAGGATGAAGTTTGGCTTACTCAGTGGAATCTGGACCAGGACACTAACTGAGTGACAAGTGGAACTCCGGTGCATTCAATTGCTGATGCACACACAACATACCAACTTACTTGTGGTGTCGAGAATTACCTATTAGTAAAATGATTTTTTAAGGGCACCCAGCGCCGTAAAACTGGATTTTTATGGTCAATTTTCTGGTAGATCATAGTATACTACATGTAAATCTGGGAGGCAAAAATGCAATATTGCTGATGGAAAATGGTTTCCTGTTTCATATCCTAAGCAGGTTCTGGCTATCTATTGGTGGTACAAAAAATAAAGGGACTCCTCACATATGTACAATGTAGCTTGTTTTTGGGCTACCAAGTATTCAAATGCTTCAAGTATGAAATCATGATGAAAATGTGCTAAGAAATGGCAGTAGATGTCAATACCAGACCAATTTCCTCATACAGTATATTTTGCCACCCTGAAATTACTTTGGATGCCTTTAATAAACAGGTGGGAATGCCTTCAGCTTCTCTCCCTCTCTCTATCCTTTCCTTATAAAAAAGGCTAAAAGGGCACTAGAGGTGATGTGCTTATCCTGTATAGGATTATTGTAAGTGATAAAACAAATCCTAGAGAGATTATCAGTGCTCCCATCTAAGCTTGACCTTTAGAGATCACATCCATGCCAGCAGGAGAACTCAGCTACTGTCATGTCATCAACCACACATAGATTATGTTACAGGAAGGCTAGTGCTGGCCAGCACTATAAGTGACTGAATCAGCACACGCACATCACGCAAAGTACAAAAAAAAAATCAGTTGCAGACTGGTGGACTTTGTACTTACCATTTGTGTGATACAGGAACACGGTCATCTGTTCTCCACATAGGAGTGTAATTTTCCATCCACCGATGATGTCACCAGCTGAAAGATAAGAAATAGCATGGGGTTAATGCTGTTAAAGTAGAGGATTTTAGTCAGGCTTTTAGCTAGGGGGTGTCCAGGGTGTCTTTTGGACGCCCTGTACTGAAAATAAGAAGAAATTGGACGCCCTACTTTTTTGTAGGACACCCTAAAGACGCCCTATTTTTTCCACTCCCAACCCCTGCCATGCACACATGCCTCCCTTCAGCCTTACTATAAATACAAAAATGATGGTTTACTGAAGGAAAAAACTCAAATTTACACCTGAAAATGCAGAAAGTAGTGTTTGAGAGCATTATGAATTTCAAAAAAGCCCCCCTAAAATCTTGCACTCAGCATGTCTTCACTGTGCATAGCATACAATAAAAAAAAATGGACGCCCACCAAAAAAATCCTAGCTAAAAGCCTGATTTTAGTTGATACAGCTCTTTTTTGCACAATAATAGACTACGCATACAAAAAAGCTCCAGACATGTCTGTGTTAGTACAAAGCTTGAAAAGAAACCCCTTTTCTTCTATATTTTCAGACATTATGTCATTAGCACATCCAACAGTTTGTTTGTACCATGTCTGTCTTCTACCCCCCACCCTACCCAAGAAAACTGTTTAAAACAGTCTAGTCAGTTCTTCAAGTCTATAAATCTAAGGCTTAGTAAGGGTCTCCAAGAAGAAATGATCAACGATTGGCTTAAATTTACCCAAAGTGATTTCAGTGCAGTAAAACTGGATGTTCAAAGTCAATTCTGTGGTCATTTCTTTATGAAGCAAGTTGAATCAACCCTGCTTTGATGTAAGCTAAGAACGTACGTTTAGATCATACATCATCTCGAGGGCTGGCATTGATGTGTGTGAAAGCAGGCCTATTCACACGCAGTAAAAATTTGTGCAGTTTTCCTATGCTTGCGTGCATACCCACTTTTCATACCGTCTGGTTTTTGGCTGTGTATAAATTGGGTCTATGACTCCGACTAGGATCAGTTGCTGCTACTTTGGCCATGGTTTGTACATGTAGGAAGGTGGAAGAAAGGCAGAGAAAGTGAATGACAAACTTAAGGAATCTCAGGAATGCTAATTGCATTTTGATAGAGTCCTTTGGATTCTAGTAGAGAACCCTCCCACTCTGTATAATAAAGTACCCTTGTTAGGGATGTACGTAAGCGACAGCTGGTTGACATTTGACAGTACTTCGCTCCTTGTGTGCCATCTTCGCTTTAAGGCATGAGGACAATGACAAGATAACAGGTCTCTTAGATGAGCAAGATGTAGCAAGAAATTGTGTAATCATCCACGGAAGTGAAATACTTTGTAGGCAAACCTCAGGCTTTACTTATATACCTTAATTGTCCTTTAACATGCACGAATCCCACCCAGCATTGAACTATTTTTACCCCCAAACTCTTTGAAGTTGACAGTGTAGAAAAGGCTGAACAAAACCAAAAGGGGATAAAGGTTTTAGGGCATCCAGAAAGAACAAATCTCTGTACTAATGCAGCTTCAAGGCATCTGCATTTTCTGTCAGGCATATTGGGTCCATCCCTACTGGTATTTACCATCATGGTATTTGATACAATGTATCAAAAATGTCAAATGTCTATTATTTGAAAATACTGGCTTAGACAACACCAATTTGTTGGTTCTCAGACTTTTTTCAGAAAAAGAAAGCAACAGGGAAAAAAACAGACCTTAGCATACTGGTAATAGCATACTGGTAATGATAGTCCCAAATGCTATGATAAGCACAATGATCAGTGGACAACAGCTTAACGTCCCGTCCTAGGGACTGCAACCCTTTCCAGTAGGGTGCATGTCATGTGAGCAACAACAGTCGGGATTCAAACTCCTAACCTCTTGGTCCAGAGGCAGGGTCACTAACCACTGATGTAGAGAGGTGTTTGTCCCTAGTATGGGGTCTGAGGAGGGGTAACACCTATCAATCACTGACCTTGTCCTCAGTTATCATTAGAAGGAGTAATACCACTGAACATTCTGAATGAGGTGAACTACCAGGAACTTCTGCCAGCCTTTCAGCCGCGCCGCGGGCAGCCAGACAATAATGGTCATGTCTGGCAAGTGCAGCTTTAGCTTGGACAAGCATTTTCCAACAAAGACATCATTATAGACTGGCGTGAATACCAGGCTTTAAAAAAAATGCAGGGCTTGTTTGTTTCTCAAAGTTACGGGGTATCAGGAGAGGCGTGGAGTTTGGGCTAGAACCACCCCATGCCTGGATGAACGGAAACCAGGAGGTGTGTACTTAGCAAGCTCGCCTGCGGAGCTTCTATGCTGCTTTCAGTCTCCGCCGGAGATAAAAACGTTGTCTGCATACAGAGTTGACTCAACAAAGGGGGTAGAAGCCTGAAATGTAGGGCAGCCAAAAGCAGTGGGAACCTGAAAGTTCATTTTTAGTCTCCATCGTGCAAGATGCTGACAAGATGCTTTCCTTTTTAAGTTGTTACTTGTACATGTGTCAGGTTGTCCTGTCACTTCTACTACCAGTCACCTAATAGATTACACATTATCCAAAAGGGATTACAGGATAATCTGGGGTAAGACTCCCAATGGGAATCAGCTGCCTTTGCTATTGCAGTATCATGTACTGGTCGTCATGAAAAGTAGGTTAAAGACCAGGACAACCCACCCACAGCTAGTGTCAACATGGGCAGATAAAAAAGTGGTTCCTGGAAATGGAAATTTCATGAATCAATGTTGACAGCTGACGCCTCGGTATAGACAGGAGGTCAAGACTTGGCTAACAGAACCTGTGCAGCAATAGTGTTTCAGCCAGTCAGATTTGATAGATTGAACGTTCGAACAATCAAATCTGTGTTTACAATATGTCAGTATAACAATATGTTCAGTTTTCGTTAGTAAATACACACTGCTTTGGCCGTCTGACAAGGATACAGTGCAGTGTGTACTTATACTGCGCAGGCCTTCTAGTTACCAGAACTAATCATGTATTCAGTGTCCCAAACATGCCGGCTTCCATGGCCCAACATTTTCACAAGGGCTGTGTCCAGTGCTGCCTCCTACACTGTGACCAAACTAGACAACATTCAAAACCTTCCAGACAACAATTTCATGCTCGATTATGCAACCCTGCAACAGGACCAAAGGACGGAATATTGCATGCCTGCTCTCCAGCCACCTTTGTAAACCCCAAGACTTGCCATCATAAATGAAATGCTGACACTAAAAGTTGCTTACTTGCACAAAGACTGTGAGGTTGCGGGGTGCCACAGGTTTCCTCAGTTATGTTCGTAAAAAAAAACTTCCACCGTTGCACCATTGTAAGCCTGACTGTGGGTAATGTGATATAATCTAATTTCTAAAACTCAGTGGGCACAACAACACATTCTCCCCAGCAGAGCTCCCCCAGGGCTGCAGACTGGGGGAACTTTGTCATCCTGAAGTTGGTAGATTGTCATGCGGCACAGTGTGGGGTGGCAGCAGCTTGTTGGAGGTACTTACATAGCTGTGATTTTAAAGGGAAACAGCATGTGGTAATAGGAGATTGCCATTTATCTCATTTTAAAGGTACCGTAGCTGTTCCCTCGCCATGTTGTAAACAAGGCGGCGAGATGAAAGAAAAGAAGATGAACCAAGAACCATGGAAAATGCAGGATTAAACACAAAATAATGCCACAGAAGTGGTGATAAACTCTGCTTATTTACACTCATTCTTCTTAAAACATATCAAGGAAAAAGTAAATGATGCAGGTGAAATTTTCAAAAGCTTTCTGCAAATACATCAGATTGATTATAATGTCACAGAAGTGGTGATAAACTCTGCTTATTAAAAGGATGTAAGTAATGATGCAGGTGTAATTTTCAAAAGCTTTCTGTAAATACATCAGATTGGTAAATCAATTTAACACGATAGTTCTCATACGTACCCAACCTTATATTTCTCTACTGACATTTCAGGTAATGTGCTTTTTCCTTGTTGCTGGGACGTCTGCATCCTTAATTGCTGCATCCTCACAAAGTGGCAAGAAGACTTACATTCGAGAATGCATCCTTGTCGTGATGATTACTGGTACATCACAACAAGACATGGAGAAAGCAGCTACTGAAATGTCGGTAGAGAAAAAAGAGAGAAAACTGGGTTGAATCTTGCAGCCTTGTTTGTACCTACCTGAGGTGTGAGTGGATTGAAGGCTACGTCCGAAACCACATCAGTGTGACCTGTCAGCTTGTGCAAGGGACCGCTCTCTCTCACATCATAGATGTATGCCTGAGGGAATACAATGTATCAAACAGTCGTCAATGTCAGTTTCCTAGACTTGATCACATGAAATTGTATTTCGTGTCATGTCCCACCTTTCTTGTGGCCATTAAAGAATAACAGGGATCAAGAACAATAGATCTTCAAGGTTAGCTTGTCACTCATAATTGCAAAATTAATGATTCAATGAAGATTGCAGCAGTCCAAGGCTTTCAATTGGTAAGTAAAAGATTTTATTCAATGATATTGAATATATTCAATAATAAGTGAAATTTTTTTAAATACATGTATAACATATTGTTACGATGATATGTTGTTATTCAAATTCAACTTCAATGTTATTCCAAGTATTTTTCTAATTTTGAGCTGGATCTCACAAGTTGTCTGTCTGAATTCCAATTCAGCCTATGGGTTGCTATAAGTGTAATGACATGTAAAATGTAACTTGTGAATAAATAAGCTATTATTACTACTTGAAAGTGTGGAATAAGTGAAGTCATTGATCACAGGAATGAAGGACAAGGTTGACATTGTTACAAGAAAAGGTACATGTAACACATCAACGAAGCAAATCAACTGTGCACTGGGGTTTTCTCACTTGACACATCTCATTTAAGATTGATAAAGCCATCGCTTTCTGACATGTAATTCTGCAAAGCCTTCAAGTTTTGGAAAGTTCTAATTATACTGTGTCCTTTGCTCTCCTTTGTAGTCTGTATCAGACAAAGGAGCCAAGAGCTGGCCACCTGCTAGCTCTGATGTCGCAAATCACATGTAAACAATGTTGTGAGCAACAACAAAAAGTGCAGGTAGAGGGTGGAAGACATGCGATGCTTCAGCAGGAGTAGATAGAGGTGTGTAAAGCATGTAAAGCACATAATGCACGTAAGTCACGTAATACTCCAAACCGAATGACATACAAAATACTTCACCCTGATTTTTAGTGTGACTTTATAGCATAGTGTACATGATGTCCCCATATTATAATTATCTATAGAGTACAAGTCTTTGCAACATTTTTTACAACATGCAAAACATTAATGACCAGCAAAGCTACATGAACAGAAAATTTGAAAAATACAATGATCTGACATCCATTCTGTATAACTAATTTCTAGAAGATAAGCCATATTGGTGTAACTACATGTAGTCTACCTTCAAGTGTATTGTTCAAACAGAGATTACATATTGCCTCAAGCAACAAAAAAACTGAAACTTATATGGCCTCTGTGCAGAATTCTGTTTGATATAAAAAGTTTTGAGTACTAGTAATATCATCTCATAGATATGATATTTAATTGAAATGGTTACACCTACATAATGCGGTGACTGACCTGAAGTTACAAACTTTGGGTTCAATGCCCTCTGGTACAATTTTGAATTGTTCTTCAGTCCTTGTCACCAGAACTAAGCCCTTTGCAATAGCCTTTGGCTACATGGGTAGTCTTTGTTGTACTATGTTATGCTGCTGGCAAAGCAATAAAATACAGTACATAAAACAACTCAAGGCTCTGAGAATTGATCCAGAAGACATGTTGTTTACCTACGTCTATTTTATTTATGATGTTTGTTTGTAGGATGCAGTCTATAGAATGCGGAGGGATGGCCACAAGATTAGACTAACAGAATTTGTGACAGGCCTAAGGCCACACCAATTTAATTTGTTGGTTCTCTGATTTTTTCAGAAAAAATCTGAAGCAACAGGGTGAAAACAAATGTGTCTAGGCATCCTATTATAGCCCCAAATGTTACGATAGGAACCATGAAGTCAACACAAAAGGCTGGGTTAATATTTAAACAATGAATTTTGAACTTTTAATCAAACCACTGCATTGATAGAATGGAAAAACTGCAACAACTCGGAAGAATAGGACTCAACTGTTGGGGGCAAAATATGAGCATATTTGAGTTGATTCAGAACCAGAATCTTTTTTTTTTTTTGCAAATCAAAAAAAAAAAATAAAGAGGCGAATCCAAGAACCAACAAATCAAATTGGTGTGGCCTAATCTGAATGCTAGACACTACTATCATCCCAACCTGGGAGAGGATATTAGAGCTTTCTCTAGGGGATTACCATCAGAATAAGATAAGCAGTAAAAGCAAGCTTGTGCAAAGTCTTCACCCTGGCTGATACATTGTTGGTCATCATCATACCAGTGTGCCTGCTCATCTTTCCATGCCATGTCCACTCTCCTTCATAAACTGTGTTGTGTCCTTAAAAGAAAGGGTTCAATCCCTGAGGCATGATATATATGTACACCTCATCATGGCCTTAGCAAGGACACTCAGTTTAGCCGTGAGCCTAAAGGCACAAAAAATGTGTTTTTTGTTAATCTTTAGTTATTACATAGATGTCTCACCTTCACCGATGCATAAGCTTATAGATTATACAATCTGTAGCAGCCCCACCCCCTTGAGTAGAATTGCTAGATACAGTTTCCACAAAATTGTCACAAATTGTAGAGAGGTGGTTGTCCTTGAATATTCTAGGAGAGAGGGGAGGTGACACAACACTTTCTGGCAGTGTTCTAGCTAACTGACATTTTCATCTGTCATCTTGATTTGATTCAGATTCAGATTCAGATTCAGATTGACTTTATTGATGTCGCAGTGGGGTACACTGAATTAAGATCAATATTACATAAAAGTACAATATAATGGTTGGCGATATAGGTTAAAAGGTAGTGCAATAGCACAATACAGTACTGTACATGATTAAAATATAGTACAATAATCAATAAAAGAGGAGCGTCATATATATATACAAAGAATTGGTCGTGACAGTAAGAGAATGTTCGCTCATTGACAATTCATTAAAAGTAAATCACAGATTAAAAGTCATGCTGGTTCAACAATCGAGTCAGGTAGGGTATTGGTGAGTTTCTGTATCTCTGTGTTTTAGCCTTTGGAATATCAAGTTTTTGACCATTTCTGGTACTTCTGCCTGTGATACTAGATCTGCGACTCGGCAACCAATGCTCGAACTCAGACTTGATAAGTGATCTGGCAAAGTTCAGGCACAGAGTCTCACGCCTTTCGGCAAGCGTTGTGAGTTTCAGGTGTTCGAGTGAGCTTGCATATCCGGTATAGGCAGGACCCATGATGATCCGACAGGCTCTACGTTGTATCCGCTCCAGCTGATCAACTTGCTGTTTAGAAAGTCCCGGGGACCAGACGGGAGCAGCATACTCCATAAGTGGACGGATGTATGCAGTGTAGATGATTAGGAGTTCATTTTGTGAGAGGTTGAACTTCCTGAGACGCTTGAGAATAAACAGTTTCCTGGCAGCGTTTGCAGACATATGGTCGACCTGTTCGTTCCAACGTAGATCACTCTGAACGCGAAGGCCGAGTATCTTCAGGCAGGGGACAACAGACAGAACTGAGGAGTCAATCCGCAGTGGGGGTAACAGTGGTGGGTTTCTGCAGAATGTAATGTGCATTGCTATGCACTTGCTGCTGTTCAGGAGCATGTGGTTGTCCATTGTCCAGGAATGTAGTTGGTCAAGGTCGTTTTGGAGACAGGACGGCAGATGGATGGATCTTGTTTCAAGAAAGTTCATGTCGTCTACGTATTTCAGGGCATAACTGACGGCATCACTAGCGGCATCGTCGATCAGAACGAGGAAGAGTATAGGTCCCAGTAAAGTGCCTTGGGCAACTCCGCAAGAGAGGGTTACCCAGTCGGAAAGGGCTCCTCTATACCGTACTCTCTGTTTTCTCGCAGAAATGAAGTCGCACACCCACGGAACGAGCTCGGGCCTCAGACCCTTGTTGAGCAGCTTAGTGATCACTGTATTATGGTCCACTCTGTCAAAAGCCTTGGTAAAATCAGTGGCTACAATGGTGCTGATGGTTGATGGTGTGTCGGCTCCAAGGGATAGTCTGTCCACCAGGCTTAAGAGGGCGTGAACCGTGGAGCGGCCCTTTAAGCTGCCGAACTGCCGTTGGTCTAGCTTAATGTCGTCAGTAATCCACTTAGAGGCAAAGAATTCCGCAATCTTAGCGAACTGGGGGGTCAATGATATGGGCCTCAACTTGTCCAGTGTAGCAGGTTGGACTTTGGAACAGGCACAACCACGGCTTGCTTCCACTGGTGAGGGACCACGCCAGTTGCAAATGACGCATTGAGGATGTGGCAGAGGGGAGAAGTCAGCTCACAGGCAAACTCTTTAATCAGTTTCGGTGGGATGTTATCAGGGCCTGAGGCTTTGTTTGGCTTTACTGCTCGAAGACGCTGGTAGACATCCCAGTCGTGTAACCTAGGCAGCTGTTCAGGGGAGGGGAGGAAGGATGGTAACAAGGAGGTGTTCAGCTCGGGTAAGGCATTAGACACCTCGGCGAAGCTTGAGTTGATGATATTTGCGGTGGTGAGGTCATCATCAGCTGGAATGCCAGGAATTATAATCGTACTGTTGGGTTTCTTCATGTTAGCCATCTTCATGACTTCCTGGTGCCAGCGTTTTGGATTGGCGGATTTCAGCTTGCTAACTCTATCTGCATGATTTTGTTTGATCATGTTGAGGCTGAGGGGGGCTGGGTCATTTTCACCTAGAAAAATTTTGTTGGTAGACTTTAGAAGCTTAAGTTAATGACATGTCTTTCCATATCTTTAGTTGACACACCAGTGTTTGTCCGTCAGACTCAAAGACTGGCTGGAACACTGCTTGCTGGCCTTGCTACAGTAATAAAATAAGTTTAAAATTGTACTTCCATACTACAACCCATCAAAACTTCTAAGGTTTCAGCAATGTGTTGAGCTGACTGAATCATACAACATCTGCCTTTTAGTGTTTTTAAACCAGTTTTCCTTAACATACCAAGAAAACAGTAGCATCTTCCAAAAAAAATGGCCGGTACTTTTTCAACGATGTCAATAACCTTGGAATTAAAAAGCATAGCTGTAAACAAGTCTAGGATTGCAAAAGGCATTCAGGAATTGCAGCAGACAAAAGAAAACGTCATGTTCAGGATTTTCCACTTGACATAAGACTCGATCGAGCGAATCTTCACATACCTTCGAAACCCATTGTCATATAAGTTGTTTACCTGCCTCTTGTCATATATCATTGCCAAATAGGATTAAAAGATATAGGGAAGGCCGGTGTTGCTGACTAGAGGTGCTGTGCTCAGTGTCAGCCAGCATACCTCAGTCACACCCATGTACAAGCCAGACAAAAAATGTCCCTCAGGCTCAGACAGGTACATGGTAAGGTTCCCAGCCAGTCAAATGACATGTCTGATTTCCTGTCCATTGTCCCAGCTATTATCTGTCTGTGTGGACACAGATGACCGTGCTGATAGTCCACGGCAGAAACGCTGGCCTTTTTTTGTCCAGCCACAATAGACTACAACATAAAACTCACCTGTCTGTCATAGATAAAGTGAGGGATGCCCTATAAGATATATTACCCTAATGGAGTCTAAGTGATAGAGGGGGGTGCTGTAATTGACCACACGTAAGTGCACAGGGCGAAGAATACACACCCAAGACAGAAAATGTCTTTTTACAGCAAGTGATAAATTTGGCTAAAGGGTGCATGCTGTATTATTACTGCAATTACAACTCATTAACGACCCTATCCTGTGTCCTTCTCTGAATAAAAAGGTGAAAAACCTAATGAGGCGTGCGATGGGCCTGTGGAAGGTAAAGACATGACGCTAGTGTAATTGTCGTGACGTAAGAGATATGATGATGTCCAGAACATTTTTCAAGCAAGTGGACCTCTGCAAATTAACCAATCAGTACATAAAAACACCACAGAAAAAACAAGCTAAAGGCATCCAATGTAAGATCAGGGCAGCAACCCCCCCTCCCCCAAATATTCGTAAAGAGGAAATCTGTCTAATGATGACATTTACTGCATATTTTTGTCATCATTTCATATTTGATGTGTTTGAATTAGCCAAAAAACAATCAATGCAAGGATTCCCTTTATTTTTTTTATCAATAAATAACTACCAGTGCACCATACAAAACAAGCAACTGTTTTCAGTCGGTGACATTGCACTTTTCCCTCACAGATATTGGTATGCTATGAGAAAGGGTTGATTCAACTTTAATACTACTCGAAAAAAAAGGACTTGACTTTGAAAATCCAGTTTTACTGCCCTGAAATGGCTTGGGTGTTTAATGATGTGAAATGGCTTGGGTGTTTAATGATGTGAGAATTCCTCTGTTAGCATTCCAGTATTAGCTTATAATAGACATGCTTGAGTCTTGCTACTCTAAGCTAGAGGTTCAGAAAAGTCTCCTACTATGGGGGGCCGCATGCCCTTTTCTGTAGAGCATAATCTACCATTTTAATTCTACGTAGAGCATAGATGGACCGCTCTATGCGTCTTGCTTAGAGTGTAATTCACCGTTTTAATTCTACGTAATGCGTTGTAACTTCCCGCAAAAGCTAATGGGGAGGCTTCCTGATATACGTAGCCGGCTCTCAAAAGTTAGCCGTGAGCGTTGTAGGGACCCCCCATGCAGGCCCTCTACAATATGATGGGGGTACAGCCAGGCTGTGTTGTCCCAAACAACTGCCTGAACCTACCTGGTGAAAGATTGGCAGGTCCTAATGGGGGTGACTTGGCTCACCACCAAACAACTTATCTCACCTACAGATCTTTTGGAACCTCTTCAGTTGTGACACCGTTGTAGCTATAAATGGGGTTTATAACCATAAAAACAATCTACAGGGATGAAAGATTATAAGTGAGAAGGTAATATAGGTGACTAGATATATCCTATAGATGATGATGAAAATGCATGACTCAAAACATCCATGAAAAAGCAAAATTTCCAATTACTAGTATGACATCATTTCTAAGGCAAATCCACAAGTAGGCCACCTGATGCGGCACTGCATATCTCTTTGTCACTTGGAAACAACAGGTGGTGCTGATGTCATAATTCCTGCTAGAGAATTTCCATTTCCAAATCTGTAATAGGTTACCAAAACTATGATATGGGAAATCCAAAGAAAAATGTCAATATTAGAGAGACAACACATTATTGTGATAATCGCAATGTTAGGAAGCACTCCCAAGGACGTGCTAATACCATTTTAACAAAAGAGGGCATTATATTTCGTAAATACTGCTGTTATTCAGCTCCACTCAAGTGCCCCATACCATACCTAGCTTTTATTTGGCATATATCCCTTTGTTTACACTGGACATGCATTATGAACTTCTGCTTTAGATCTAAAATGCCCACCTGAGATGTCTTGTCTGATAACATTGTCCGTTGACAGGTTTTGGAATGACAGAAAGATTTGCTAAAGCCTTTTAAAAGCAGGTTGTAGGGCAAACTGTCATCAGGAGAGTCACTGGAACACTCATGTTTTGAAGGTCAATGCCACAATGTCATTGTCTTCAAGTAATACATATAGGTATACTGGAGAAAGTTTAAATTGTAATTTCCACAAAATCTCTTTCAAATAGGTTGAATATCTCCGTCTTGATTGATTACTTAGTATTCTTATGACTTACATGTATCTATTTTTATTGATGCATACTGTATTTCTTTTAATGTTTGTAATTGCATGAACCTTACATTGTGTATGTTATTTCTTGTTCGTGATTACTTCATTTGATGTGGATATTGTATGTTTGGGAAAGGGACACATTGAAAAATGCCAGTAGGCAATGTTTCCCCTGGTGAAATAAAACAAACAAACAAACAAACAAACAAACAAACAAACAAACAAACAAACAGGACTGGCGATGAATGGAGGTAACGTTGCATGACTGTGCTTTCCGACTCGCGGGAGGGCCGGGACCGAGGGCGATGCGGAATACTGTTGTATTCTATATATACATACAACTGTATAACCAACATCTAAACAGTACTACTACTATTCTCTGCAATCTCACTTATCAAGCCTGTTTGAAACAGCTTTATGTACTTGACAATCATTGATTGAAAAATGCAATCCTACTTTCAATCCTGATTTCATTCTTTTATGTTCTACCTTGGTTCAACGGTATACTGTATGATGTTAAGGTTACACTATTGTTTCACTTATCTTGGTAGTATAATATCATGTATGTTATTTAAGTTACTTTGATTTTGTATCAATTTGTAATTTGCATAACTTTATTTATTACTTTTGTTGTAATTTGGACTGAGTTGATTTTGTTGTTAATGGCTTTTGTTTGGGTTTTCCCCCTCGGAAACATTGAAAAGTGCCCTCAGGCTTTATGTTTATAATAACTCCTGGTTAAAGAAATAAAACAAACAAACAAACAATTTGTTAGCTGAATACATGGCCGTGCCCACCGATTTGTCCTCGGCTCCGGTGGCGATGAAGCGCGCACAGGGGCTCATGGCCAGACCGCAGGGGTACGCACGGTTCAGGTGCCCTTCATAGCGCCGTACACACCTGGAATGCGACAAGAGGCGTCAGTGTCTCAACGTAAAGTGCGCATCATGACCTTCAAGAACAATCTATTACCCAAATGAATTGCTTCACAACTCTGGCCTATAATCTCTGTCTTAGGAGATAAAGGTCAAGGTTTCAAGTGTTGTTGTTATCCTACAACTACAACAGGAGAGGGGGTGGATATGCTCCATCAGATCACTAACTACATGTACATGTACTCCATACAAAATTTAATGTAGATAAGCATATTACTGATTGACTGCCATGCATCAACACTACCCATCTAAACTCTAGTAAATGATCTGTAACACCATGTATCATGTAGTTAAGGGCTGGGATTGTACGGACCATACATGTATTTTACTGGGCACAGCTACGTCAGTTCCACAGTACACCTTAAAACTTTTACTGCTTGTCCTTAGAAGTTAAAACATATTCAAAAATAGAAGACCCTGTGGTGGATTCAGCTCACTTGTCTAACTTATATTGTTGCCACAGCTTTATACTTAATTCTACACAAACTGATTTGAACAGAAATTAAACAAGTTGCTCATGCACTTTCAGGTCATTTAATGTTGTCTTACCTTATCAGCTGTAAAAATAGTTTATAGAGGCTCAACTGCATTGAAAGTGCCTCTGTGGTCTGATTTAAAGGTTGTTTGGAGATTAAAAGGCATTTAATGATAAGACTATCTTGAAGGCCTTCACTTTAAGATTTATCAATGATGACATGTATAAGGTGGCTACAACCACAGTATTCCATTGCCTCCATCATGAATTGTTAACAATATGATACTGTAAATAGATACTGTCAATCAAAAGTGGCATCTTAAGTTGAAATAAGTCAACCACATACAATGTATGCATTTTTTTCAATTCTTAAAGAATAGTATGGAACAAGTCTGCACATTGGCAGAATGCACTGCGCCTTTTTTTGCGCGATTTTTCACGGTTTTCGTTGGATGTTTGGTCACTGTTGTATCAGAATGTTGCCTGATGCAGACATTATCTATTTCTTTGAAAACTATTAATGGGATGTCATCTTTAGATACATGAATATGACCTAAAGAGAGACATACTGCCAAAGTGCTATGCACAATACATTAGGATTTTCGCGCAGGCACAGTACGTTCTGCTAGCATGCTTAGAAGGACATTTCTGCCCAAACCCAATTTAGTAAATACTTCATTTCTTCCAGGGATAACAACCTGCTATTGTAGCTTCATGAGATCACATGACCACCCACCTGTTTGTCCGCAGGTCCCACAGTTTGATGCCGTCTGTTAGCGCGCTTGTCAGGAACAGGTCATAGGCGCTGGAGGGGTGAGACACGTAGGCTGACCCCTGTACAGGACAGAATAAGCAGGGAGCACTTCAGACATTTATCTCCCCACAGGAGTGACCACTTCTGTCAACAGACTCCTGGCCAACACAGATAAACATCAACTATTTCCAGGTACAGCCCCTCTAAAAAAAGACCCCACATCAGTTTAGACTTCAGTGTTTATTGACATCTTGTAAAAACCATTCAAGGACTGCCAAGTATCTGTGTATGTGTCCTCGCGTGTCATCATCTTACAACTCCCCGCGGGTCCGAGGATTTAGTTTTGTTTTGGTCTGCATTTTTCGGAGGCCAAGTATTCAGGACATCACAACATTAGAGAGGAGTTGTATAAAATGTTGCCACTCAGCCATGATGGCTGGAGACCAGCGGCTAGGACGTTGGGGCGTTGGATCGGGTTGCCTAGAAACAGACACTCAAACAAGTACAGGGAAAACTCAAAACACCTGCTGAGTATGTGACATGCACTGAACTGTGTCCACTCCATCACATTTAAGGTCGTCCAAAGTTAAGAAGGAACATCACTGAAGGGACAAGAAAAGAGCTAGACGTACTAAATCTCTTGAAAGGAAGTCAACTGTCTGTTTTATCTTTACTTCTAGTCCTAAATTGAGACCAAAACACATCATAAGAAGGTAGAGGATGATATAGATATCTTTATAGCTGTATAAACCTTGACTTAACCCGGTGAACTCCTAACTGCACTTTATCTATTAGTACTGATATCTAGAATGACGTTCGGCTCACTTTTGATTAAAACAGTATTCCACAGAGAAAGCTATGCCAGGAATGCAATAGTGCCATCTCTATTGATGTAAACAGGGCTGTGACAACTGTATGATATATACATAACTGACTTAGCAGCCAACTACAACAGTGACTTGGCAAACTTAAAAGGTTCTCACTGGAATGTGTAGAAATTGTGGTATTCATTCTAGTGAAATATCATTGCTGTCTCCTTTTGTGTAACATTTTCCATCTTGACACTGTGTAGCTATATCGACTGCCATGGTAACGTTACATTTTGTAAACTGTGAGTGACAGTTTTGACAGTCCTGTTAGAAATGTCTTCTCAAGCATGGCCGACAGCTAACTGTTGGAGGTCAGACAGGTCATTTAGTAGTCAACATCTCAGAAGGGCAAGGACAGAAATATGGAGCAGGAATGGAGCAAGGTTAATATGGCAGCTAGAGGGCAATGAACTTCTTGTCAGTTTCCAGTCCACATCAAAGACTGCAATATATTTGGAATATATCACTCGAGACATGTTGGACGACCGTAAATCACTTTCTGTTCGTGGTAGAAAACATTCGCAATCTGACAAAAAATAGACATGTTCACGGAACTATAAATGTTCGAGGTGGTGGCAGGTGCAGAAAAAAGGAAGTTGGTGAATTATTTGTTCACAGTTTTCGATAAGTTTGCGGTACAGAAGTGGCCCTGAAAACTGCAAAAAATTGTGATTTGCAATTTCTGTTCTGCGCTGATTTGTTTCTCACTTTTGTTTTGGTTGAGTTATTATTAATTTGTAATAATGTTTTGTTAGTAATTTGTGAGCTTATCCCCCAGGAATTCTTTGAAAATTGCACAGAAGGTGATAAGTATATCCTGGATAAAATAAAGAACAAGACTTACAGTAGTATGTATCTGAGACAAAGCAATTAAAATAGGCAGGTTACATGAGGTTATTTTCAAATCACATGTCAGCGACCTGATTTTTATCATATGACTGACCTGCCTGTAGCGATATACACTACAGGTGGGCAGGGTGGGCATGATTCATTGGGCACATACAGACATGCTATTTCCTGTACAGACATACTATTTCCTGTACGCAGTTTGACATGATGATTTTGACATTACCATAAAAATTGTGGTTTTTTAAATAAACCAGGCACACCTCTCTAACTATCTGAAAGACAAACAATTGTGCTGGGTAAGGGCACAGTCATAATCGTGCTAAAGGTCGTTGGACGATTTTGATGTCATACAGTATTTTTCAAGCAGGCTATGACAGAAACAACTGCTGACAATGATGTAATTCTGCATTTTTAATAACAAGACAGATGAATTTTATATGACGTAAATCACTATCCGATGAATGCCCTTAGTTTGCAATGATTATTGTAGGACAATTGTACAGCGCATGTGACCACCACCTAGAATTACACCATGTGATCACACACTGCAGAGATGACAAAATGTCAGCCTTGGTTAGGCAATGAAGTAAAGAAATGGGTCATCATACTACTGTACTGGTTTGAGCTGGATAACAAGCTGGATAGAGCCGGATGGCAGAAGGCCACACAACACTCCACTCACATGCCATGCAACTTCCAGATGTGCTCTAATCAGTCTGAAAACTCTAGCTACATTGGTTTATGCATATGAACCTTATTGCTCGACAGTTGTACGTGGTACAATGTATGGCAACAATGACAATGTGATCAATTCAATGTGATCAATACAATCAACTCTATTCTAAGAGAGTACTACATGTACATGTAATAATGATTCATGTATTTCGGAACAGGTGGCTGTCTTGGCAATGACAAGAATCATAGAGTTGATAATATTTCATATCTGGACCATAGTGTGAATGTGGAGGGAGCATTGCGGTCTCTACGCTAATAGCTGCTTATAAAAAAGAAATGATGGCATTGACAGTAACATCCTTTTATTCCCAGTAGTTCTAAAAACAGACAAGGTCATTGCCTGTCTGTCTGTTCTACAGATGTTTCATTTGGCACAATATTTGTACATGCTGCCAATGATCGCTTTTTTGCTGCTTGACTGTAAAAAGTACTTCCTATTCTAAAGAAAAACAGCTAACACATTGATGACATGCATAGTGACTATAAAATGTACTAGGTTCTTTTCTGGAGCAAGGCTTCTCAAACAAACCTTGACATACATGTAGTAAGTTTATATTACGCGACAGTCATGTATGATGTCTTAACCACAGTATATTTCAGCAAAAATGTCTCCTTCATCAGTGATGTCTGAGTCATATCAACAAGGAAATAGGTCCCAGTTACACTGCTTCACTTGTTTGTGTGCATTTCTATGCCTTGCACATCGAACATGCCAGACGTGTAGGGAGCGACACATACAAGTTCTGCCAAACACGGACATTGCCGAGTGATTTTTTGTTGCCAAACGTGTGTTATAGCAACAGCTCAACAGTCCCCCTGCTACAGAACAAATATACAGGATGTTTCAGCTAGCGGCAGCCCATCCCTCATGTAAATGTTATGGGTGACTTGTGGCGATTAGTGATATGACTGTTTGAACTTTGGGCTTGTTTTTAACGTCTAGAATGGCAGGGCCTGATTGGGAGCCTTGACTTTGGCAAATATTTGAACACGTCAAACCTTCAGGTTCACTGTTGAACTTACTCCTAACACATCATTACCTCTTCCGCCTCTTGGCTATCCTTGGCAAGGGCTATGGGAAGGGCATGATAAGGACGTATTTCCTGCTAGCCAGAACTGTTCTCTTTTCTTCTACTAAGGGTGTGCATTCATTTGTCGTGATGAGACGTAGCAAGGCATTCTAATTTTCCATCAATTGCAGCTACTGTACCAGCTTTTAATCAACATTAAGTGTTGTCCGGAAACTGTAAAGTGTAATGCATCATATGTTATTTCTTATCTTAAATTCATTGTTTAGCATTATTGAAAAATTCTTCATATCGCACAGTCAAATGTCAATTTACACCCCATATCATTGCACAAATATCTAACCAAACTCTTGCCACTCTGTTCCAATTAACATGCCTTGTTCTAATTGACCTTGACAGTGAAAAATTTTTACTGTATCCAATGCCTATATTTAACTTACTAAAACTTAAACACACAATGCATTGAATGCATGCATACATGGTAGATGTGTGAAAATGATTGCATAGAATTACATGTTGATTTCAGGATTTATTGAAATTCAAAATGTGTGGCAGGAATTTTTCGTCAAATACTTCCAACCAAATCTTCATTCTGATTCTTTGTGCAATGATCAATGTCTTTAATGTTCAATAACATTGTAAGCAATGTATTTTGTATCTTGATCTAGACTCTCCTGTAATGCACACAGAATACCATATCTCACAGTTAAGTACTAAGTAACAGGTTATTCACTTATGACCACAATTATATAAAGGCTATAGCCTAAGGGGAGCCCACATACCCTTTTCTGTAATAGAGTAATCAGGCATTTTAATTCTACGTAATTCATAAAGCAAATGCCGTAAATCAATGTAATTGGGAATCTGCACATTAGCCGACAAATTTTCAGGCTGTAGTATTACATTATATATTATATAGTATTAGGGTCCCCAAATTTGGCATAACTTAAATATGTATAGCTATGGTAGTTCTTCTGAATTTTGCATAAAGAATTATCAGGAAAAAACAGACTGCCACTACAGCTTACAGCTATAGCTCATATATGAGACTGCATGAGTGAGTTGTTGGCCCCCCCCCATGATACCCCCCAAAGACCCGATTTACACATGGGCAACCTGATGACGTGAAAACTCTGTATGCACACTGGCGTACAAAAACTGCGTATGTCAATTTTTCCTGTGTGTAATTCGTCCTGTTTTACGTAAGAACATTACGTACGTTATCTCAAGAGCTGGCACACAATCTGAATGTATGTTCTTGATTTATGTCAAAGCAGGCTGATTAACATGCAGGAAAAATTTGACGTAGTACACAGTTTTTGTACGTTCACATTTCTCACTCTGTTTGCATTTCTCAAAATCGGTTCTAAGGGTGTTTCTGGAAATATGCACCTGCTTTTAGTTGATATACATGACTATTGTACATTGTACAGTATCGAGACCACCCCCACCATTTCCATTTTGTAAAAGCTGAAAACAAAAATCAGATCTCTGTCTCATTCAAGTCATATCCTCAAGGTTTAAAAATGTGACCTTTCCTCCAAAGGAACAAACTGACAGGAGGATGTGCATGTTGGTACAAATGTACTGTGTTACCTCATCAGCACATTTTTCCAGCATTGGGAAGATGTTGACAGAACTCCTCTATTCCATAGTGATACCGTAAACAGTGACTAACATTACTACAGAGTAAAAGAATGTTGGAGCTTTCTTTCGACTTCCACAACTGATGCCGCAGTAACAGTGCAGCCCAGGATGTGTAGGTTTATTTGTACTACCAGCTCTGTTATATCAACCTGTCAGCAGTACAACAACTTAAACTGTCATGGGAAAGCGCTCAGAGAAAGGTAGGACCAGTCAAACACATGCCATGGGCAAATACTTGGGATTGTTGCGTACGTTTGACAAAACTGTAGTCTCTGTACTGAGAAGAGGGGAATAAGGAAACTTCAAGAGTCCTAAAAGAATCAATTTCACCAGGAAATCCTGTTTTTCTAGCTAACGCTACTGTATACAATGTACTATATATATCCACTTTATCATCCAATGCCACTTATGGTATTACAGGAACGACAGGAAACCATGATATCACCACTGTACATTGGAACCGAAGACAGAAATTTCCTTGTAGTCCTTGCAACTAAGGAAAAATGCTTTAAGATTCATGCCTCGGTAGTCTGTCTTATGTCAATGTCTTAATAGAAAAATGTAGGTAAAAATGACAACTGTCAGTTCTGGGCTATGTGCCTACACTGTTGGCTGCTTATAACGTCAAACTCAACTAATAATAGTAATACTAACTACTGGGGGCTCTTGTCAATGTCAACCTGTCACTGTAGAATTTGCTTAGTCTTTAGAACTTTTCTAAACGGACAGCCATTTACATTATAACTTTTGTAAAGCTTTGCTATGTACACTCCGGCATTACACAATGTAATCTCGCTGTCAGGTTGTTTCCTTGCACAGCTGTAAGTCTGGCCCACACCTGTTTCCCACCTGTGGGTTTGTACAAGTGCAAGTACAAGTACACGTGGACCGTTCCATCCGTCTGGCACGGGGACAGACTGCACTGGCAACAGGAAACGCATCCCGAGGCATCTCAACCCCAGCTGACAACCTTTCCACTTTTCTCTCCGAGAGGGTCTGCATGCACTTTTCCATGAGGCGTAGCAAGCCATTTCAATTCACTGTTAATCATAGCCGGCCGCTTTAGTTCAACATTAAGAGATGTCGGGAAATTCTTCATGAAACCTGATGTTTCTGACTGAAACAAAAGAGATGCTGCTTCAGTGAGCATTAAAGTTCTGCTTGAATTTACTGTTAAACGTTACGTTATTGCTCCTCCTAAATTTGCCGTGAAGCGTTACAAGGATCCCCCCATGCAGACCCTCCTCTTTGGTCAAACTGATGTAACAAAAAGGAAAACAAACTCAAATGCACCGAACTTTTACATAACGAGTTGTCATTGGCTCAGAGTCTACAAGAACTGTGAGACTGATTTAGTGCTAAGTACATTCACACTTCTGCCCCAGTGTAGTATGTCAAATACGTGTAAGTTGTAAATGTGCACCTGGGGATGGCTTTTCTTTTATCGACTCTCACTACTCCCTGTACGGTGTTTGCTTTCTTGATGAAAGATCTGCTAAAATTGCAAATGCCAGTGCTACCATATAGAAGACCATAATTTCAGTAGATCTTCAGGTTCAGAGTATAACTTTTCATATTTGTCATAAAGCAATCTCCATTGAGTTAGATTTTATTGAGATCCACGTACTTCCTTTTGATTAGTCATACAGGTCTGGTAACACAATTCTACCTTAGCCTGTTGGCATAAAGCCGTCTTTAACTCTTTGTTCTGAGAAAGATACAGGTACTGCGAACACCCAGAAACTTGGCGTCATACCTTGAGTATGTCTACTTTGTGCGCTAGATGTCCTGTTTGGTTATTTCTGGTATCTTATTTCTTGTGTATGACGGCTATGGGCAGCTACATGTCAGCACCGATCACATGTTCCATGCTTTAGCCCAAAGTAATTGATATTGTACAGGACCTTTGCTCTAATCCCAATTTTTAAAAGTATCTCTTTCTGCAGAATGTCTCAACGCAGCCAGCAAAACACCGGTGACAGTCATATATAAGGTGGTTCTCTTCGGCGAAACCATGCGGACGACATTCTACGCTGCTTACTGTACAGATACGCGATGCCACGCTTACTTCATATTGACTCAACCAGGGGTGGGCGATACCGTCATAAACTGTGACACCCTTCTGACTCCGTGACACCTTAGAAAAACCCAACATTCTTCTTCGTTCACGAAACGGATACACAACGCCGCCCAAGCTGAGTCACCAGTATTGTCTGAGTAAGGTCTGCCAATAACTTGAAGTTGATCTTTATCACCGTTTCCGATAAGGCACCTTTCATCAGCGTGACGACTATAAGACTCACAGGTTACTCCGGCGTACAAGCCAAGTGCCGCAGCGATTCTTTGAAACCTTACGGGACAAAAACATTCCAGTTCGCTCACTTTGCAGACGAGGAACATTTCCAAACACTGAGTCACTGTCACTGTCGAAATCCTCCAAGACTGGACTAGCTTTGCAGCTGATCTTTATCTTACACTATTTAGCTTTCATCTGTTTCATCCTCCCCTCTTCTACCTTCATAAGATGACAAAATAGGATGGAGCAAAGACAAGAAGAGATAAGAGAAAGGCCTGAGGGAATGACAGGAGGAAGGATGTGTGGAAGGAAGGATGTGTGGAAGAAAGGAATGCTGAAAATAGTTGATTGGTCCTCATTAAACTTGACCTTTTCCTACACAGAGTACACCATTAAAAGTTAAGCCATGTCTTGATCCTCCATTTTCTACAAAGATCCTCATGTAGTGCTGCTACCACACACACACACAGTCCCCATCTCACACTGTAGACATCAAAAGGCCACTGGGACATACATTGTACAGTCTCAGATGTGGTAAAAATCTGGTTTTATGTCATGTCAACCACTAGACCTCAAAAAAGCAATGTGACACAAGATAGGTACCCTGTGATCACCTCTTTCACTTCTGTCCAATTAACGTGAGAAATCTTTCTCCGACAGGTGACCCGAGGTAAACCTGTACCTGTTACTGATCCCTGAGATGGACCAGACTGGTCATTTTTCTGCTGATTGTAAAAGCAAAAAGAGGTCTTTTAAGGGAAAGGTATGATTCAGTTTTCATATATCCCATATGTAGAGATTGAAATGTCTGAATTGGTCCTAAATGTATATATTTTGGCTCTTTTCCATTATTCTCTGTGTGTAGAATAAACCTGTGCTTATGAGTTGACACAGCAGCAGCAACCTGTTAATACCAACTTGAAGTCTTTTTGATACTTTGTTATGTGAACAGAACTGTTCCTAAAGTTTAAAAAGTCAACTGGCAAACTTTCTGGCCTTGGCACTTCCCCAACCACACTATACCCAGGTGCTGATATAAAAGTATTTGTTGTACCGGAAGTTCAAGCTATTACATGCCCTGTTTGGGATTCGGTTAGCTGAATGACTGTGGGTTAGGAATGACACCAATGCCGGGTATGTATCCTGTAAACAACTTTCTTTTCCGTGCCAGACCATGCAGACAGGCCATTGAAATAATTACTTGGCCATTTTCTGGCTGGCTGCGGTATGTGCACGGTTCTCGTTCTGCAAGAAAATACTGCAAAGATGTTGACATGTCTCAGTCTGACCGTGGCTCTGTCTGAGAGTGTGTGTACACGGTAACTTGTTCCTCTGCTGGGCTTTGTCTTCAGCCTTGAAGGAAGTTTACAAAAAACACCTTGTAGCTTTGAAGTGCACACCTGACTGTGTGTGTCAGCAGGTGCACTGTAGGGTCCCCAAAACGGCTGCTTTGAAAGGAAAGCCTTGGAGCTCACCTTGGAACTGTTACAAAGCAGTGAGATACCAAGACATGTCAAGCATCAATGGTGGAGAATGTAACTGACCCGTCCCCCTTAAGACCTAATGATAGATCGCACTAGTCACCACCTTAGCCTCCATCTGTGCATTGTAGCTCTGCATAGGTGGGGCAGACAGACTGTCCAAGGACACAAGGCTCAGCAAAACTGTTGAAAATCTCTGACCTGTACTACTTTGGAACGTAGTGAAAACAAGCATCCTGGAGTTCCAAATAAAAAAAATATCCATTCACTGGAGGGGAAAAGCTTTTAGGTTTAACCTATTTGCACAGGAAAGTGAGATAATCCTGTTGCCATTGGCAAGCTCTTTTAACACCTGATGAAGAGAGAAATGGCTAGTGTAGCATACACAAAGTGCCCCCCTCCCTCCAAAGCACCTGGTCAGGTAAAAAATATGCACACAATCTTGTTGTCCCATGCAAAAGGCAAATAGCAAACATTTTCTCACTGACCATGTGAATCTAGTAGCAGTGGAAGGACAAGTTTTCATTACAAGCAAACTATGAGAGAAGGCAAGGAATTCTAAGTACTACATTGTGGTATTTAAATTCAGAACGCTAGCGCCTTTTCTGACATTAATGACATTCTATATTAGCACGTCGGCAGAACGAACATTTATGTATTGTGCCTGCGCAAGACCAGTAAATGTATTTTTCATAACATTTTGCCAGAATGACTTGTTTAATGTTTGTATTCACATATTGAAGGACAACATCCCATCTATACGTTTTTAATTGTTGTGTAGGAAAAGATATCATCTGTAACAGGCAAAAGTCTGAATGGAACATTGACCAAACATCCAACAAAAAACGTGAAAAATCTGGAATTCGCACAGGTGCAGTACGTTCTGCCAACATACTTTCTTTATATAGCTTTCTGCCTCGAGCAAGGAAAGAATTATAGAACTTACTTTGTTCTGGCAGATAGCATGCACCGGCCTGGTATGCGCGTCTGGGATGGTTCGGACGCTTCTGGCAACATTCATGTCAAACACCTCCATGCTCTTGTTTGACCCTGCACACAAAACAATGTCTGGGGGAACAGGTGATTAAGGACCATCACATCTGTGCTCTTGTCATGTATAACAGATTTCTGCTGAAAAAAATCTAGTGAGAAAGGACCATGCCTGATAATATACATATATATATTATATTATCATGAGTTTATCATTTAATGCTAGAATCTCATGTAATGCCAGAATCTCATGTAGTTATAATTTTGGGTTTGTATCAGCTGTTTATTTATCTATTTATTTTTGGTTCAGCTATACAAAGGACAGCCAGAGCTGCCCAACTAGTTTTAAAGGGCTAACCCTGGAGACAAAGACAACCTGTACATAAGATGAGTACAGAACATATATATAAAAATCAAAATCATCAACTCATTACATCTATAGGATTTACTCTACATTTACATATCATATCAGCTGTTGAGGGCTATTACATTCTAAATATGTAGGGAAGTTACAGGGGAATTCTAGGAGAAAGGGGTTACTGTAAATCAATCCTCTCCCTGCTGCCTCACGTTACAACTTGTACAACTTTTGGTGCCTGAACGAGCTGCTAGCAGGTGGGCTTGATGGACAGTCATGCAGGAAAAATCCCACCCTGCAACACCAAAGGGGCTTTGCTGGCAGAAAGGGAGGGGGGATTGTTTGATTATGAAGACTTTGTTGGATACAACAGACAGAAGAGGTTCTTCCAGATGGAATGAGACTGTGAATGGTGCGGTATCTACTGTGGAATGAAGGGGTCTGCATGCCTTTTTCCATGAGGCGCAACAAACCATTTTAATTCACCGTTAATCGTTGATGAAGCGTTTAAGCGTTTGGAAATTCTTTGTGAAGCGTAATTGGTCGCTTTAATTCCACGAAGCACGTTATTTGTTATGACAGTCTCAAATTCATGGTTAAAATTCTTCGTATCGCATACATTGTGTAGTTGAGGTCCAAATTGCTACAAAATCAAAATGGCGTGTCCAAGGTCCGCAGACTTAGTTTTACCAGACATCCCATGAAATAAATACAAAAGAACATTCCCCCCAAAGCCTAAGGCATAAGTCAGAACAACCTATTAGTAATCTAACCTAAGCGTTGGTGGCCTGCCTGAATTTACCGTTAAGTGTTGTCTGCCTTTCTTTAAGTGTTGGCGGGATCCCCCTATGTAGACCCTCTGGAATGTGGCGATGAGGTTGGTCAGGTCTGATAAACTGAGCAACATGGGCGGTGGCAGAGTCACTTTATTCAGGAGGGATTACAAACAGGCTCTTGCAACACAAGTCTCCCTCATCTTCCCCGGCCGCACGTGATATCAAAGGATGAAGGGGACAAAACCCCAAACTAGCTTCAAGGTTGTATTGACACAGGTCACCGAGTGACTCTCACCAGAAGTAGGTTAAACCCATCCTTTCTTGTCCTTGATTGGTATTAAATGTCAGCAAGATTATGAGCTTATCTTTTTTTTTGCACTGGGTTCTGCACATCTGTTTGTGATGTTTTTGGTTACGTAACCTTCAAAGGGATTTCTTTACGTCCTATTGTGCTGTTCACATAAAGGAGGATCAGTAAGAATAGGAGATAGAATCATGATCAAAGAGAAAGGGTTGCTTTCAAAGGGAGCAGCTTGGAAGTCCACCGAGGATCCTAATTTGCCTTTGAAGCTCTTACTCTCCTGTGTCGACCAAAGTCAGACTGGGTGCCCTGAATGCTTGCAGTTGGACTGCAGATGTGTGGGTGATGTTGGCAATACTACTGAGACTTTCCCTGCAGGACTTCAAGACTCGAAAAATAAGCTTGTCTTACTTCAAAGGTTACAACTTAACAGGATCATGTCATGGTTTCAGTGGGAAGAGACATGTGACCACGAGCAAAGAAACTCAAATTCAACAATATGAAGATGATCATGCCTGTAATAAACAGAATATATGGCATCTGTCACAAAATAGCCAATACATTACTAGATACATTTACTTTATGGCCGAGAGGGTATTGAGTGATCTAGACATCTTTGTCTAGAGGGAATGGGTCAGGTGTGGTGAACCTTTGCAAGGCAAACATGGCTGATGTGCCCAGACAGGTAGAGAACCCTGGCCTGGGTGTAACTGTAAGTACATGTACATATGTAAGCCTGCCTGAGAGTGACCAGAAGGTGTCCTGAGATGCACAGTTGACAGCGCCAGGCACAGACTGTCACAGACAGCATCTCTATAACACAACACATGTTCACTCATGTCTGCATGAATCTGACATCAAAATGCTGCGTTTGTCTGTACCAGGACGATCCAAATATTCCTTATGGCCTTCTTACGAACCCAAATAGCCAGTTTCAAAGACACTTCTTACACGCACGTGTATCAAATGTACTCCGTGCATGCATTTTTGACAGTCAGACAAATATTGTGGCAAAGGCGAAACATGAATTTGGGCTCGAGTCAAAACCCATGTAGAGATCACACCAAAATTAACTTCTTCGTGGGGGGGACCAAATGTTGTGTCAATTCAGCTGGCTTGTGAAAACAAGAAGATGACAACAAGTTCAAAAAGTCTGCTAATAAAGAAACTGTTAACTGGCAGGTTGTCACCCCCGGGGCATGCGGGACGTGCTTTGTACATGATAATATTCACGGAAAATATCCTCGGCGTGTGCGCTCAGCAGTAGTCAGCCTTCACCTTGAACTGTGCGCAGACTACACACAAAAGTTTCTCATGAGAACAACATGGTACATTTGGTTGATGTTTGATGCTCCAGACACTCCGGGGACATCTGGGTGTCAAATCCACCTGTTGGTGCTATCACTGTTTCTGAGATAAAACTGGAATAGCCTGTGGCATGGGATGGTCAGGCGAGAGAGAGAGAGGATTTGAGTTACATAACAAGGCAAGGTCGGGATTAGTGGAGATTTCCAGTGGAAACGTTTCCTGTTATGTTTGCATTTTACTAATTGGATACGATTTGCAGCCATGTAAATTTGAGGGATTTCCTACACCAGTCCCGAACGATTAGCAAGGATTTCCTTATTAAGCTCTTTGGATATTTCAGGTACTATGAAAATGCATGGACTAAGCCATAGCTAAGAGACTGTATGATATGTCTTGATGATAGGGGAGGGGGGCATCAGTTGTCAGAGGGAGGGGCAAAGGAAAATTTTCAGCTTTGGGGGAGGGCTGAGGAAAAAAAACTTGGCCTGGGGGGAGGGCCAAGGAAAACGTTTTAGCTTGGGGGAGGGCCAAGGAAAAAAAGGCTAGGGGTGGAGGGCAACAGAAAATTTTTTTCTTGGATCCATGCTACCCTCCGTTATTTTCATAATTTTGTAAAACATGATTTAAGACAATTTGTGGTGTGGCACTGAGTCAAAAAATTGAAAACTGAAACACCATGCAATAATAAAAGGATACAGGAGTAGAAGCCGTTGACAGCAGACAGAGCTGTTATCTGTTGTGTCTTCTCCATTGTCAGTGTCTTCACCAGCTTGTAGTGACTTTTGGTTTGATACCTGAAGAGAAGACATCAACCCAAAAATCAACAAGAATTCCGAGATCTCATACCTCCATGAAATATGGGCTTGATATGTAAATGTAAATTTCTTCTTTAATTATGCAAATGACCTCTGCATTAACATAATATATACATCGTGATGTATGTTAACTTTTGATTAACTTACAGATGTCCCAAGTATGACATTCCCATCATTCACCATTAAGAAATCATAGAATTTTCGCATTAATTATGCAAACTAGGTCATAATTTGCATAATTAGTATCTGTTGATGCTCCGCCTGCCATAGCTTACATACATTACATGTATGAAAGTAGTATAATGTAAAACACTGTAATTATAGAATTTCCTCATTAATTATGCAAATAAAGTCGCCATTTGCATAATTTGCATTTAATCATGTACAACTGTCTCTCAGGTACCTACACACCAAAAATGATGAAAACACGTTGTTCCAATCTGGACTTATTGGCTTTGAAAGTTTTTACCAGAAACTAACCTGCAGTTCCAGAACAAGCTGCTAGGGGGACCGAACTTACGCCACTTATTCCTAACAGGATAAGCTATCTGTCAACAAAAGTCAAGACCATAGGTTGTTCAGGACAAAAGATACAAAAACCGGAAGTTCTGCTGCAGTACCAAGGTTGTTAACCAGGAGGCCCATACTTGACCTTGACCTTTGTCTTTCCAAGACTTACCATCATACCAAATATCATCACAATCCATAAAGGCGTTCTGAAGTTATGCTGACTACAAAGTTGCGGAAACACACACAGACAGACAGACAGACACACACACAGACATACATACAGACAGACACGCCAAAAACAATACCTCCATTTTTCATGGAGGTAAAGATATCAAAATACTGTATTTGCATTTTGTAGACATCCAGATAGAGAAACTATGCTCTCATCACAATGTGCTCTGAATGTAATTCATGATAGTACTAAATCTCAATGCATCAATATCAGTTATAAAATGTTATATGTATTCTCTGAGTCAATTCGTAAAAGATTTGAATCAAGATATCGTAAATTGTGAATAAACGTTCCAGTATAGTAATTTTTATCAGATAAAATATGATACTATAACGCAATATCTATATCAATATCACAATTTACTAATATGTTATATATATCTAACTAATGATCTTAAATTTCTTTTCGAATATTTACATAAACATTCAGACTCGAATAAAAAACATGCATGCATTCATAAGAGAGAGTAAGGGGTACAATCCCAGAAAGACTGTCAGTTCCAAGAACACCCTTGCAGGTGCACAGAGCAGCTGGTTTGTTAATCATAGACGGTTTGTTTACGACTTGCAAGCAACTAAAATACCAGATCTGTGACCAAACGTCAATGACCTATCTGGAATAATTTTCCCTCTTTACAGAAGAAAAGAATCAATCATGTGAGTGGTGACACCTCTTTCGGGACATCACTAGCGAGCGATTATCCGACACATATGCCGTGCTAATTTCTCAGTTAGATGTCCCAGGGCATGTTGTCATGAGGAAAGCTCAGTGAGTCAAGATGAAGGCATGACAAGGACAGGTGCGTCGAATGCTTGATCTTTGCAAGGACAAGAGGATTACCCAGGTGATGCTAATGTGTACTACTGAGTA